CGCAACCCATATGAGAGAAGCCCTCGTCCCAACACCAACTTTTGCTGTGTTATTGATTCTGCTTATGCATATTGTCGAGATACCCCTGCCCTCCCCCCCCGTGGTTACAGACCTCGACCGTCCGCAGCCTGATTTTGATTAGCAGTTACAATAAGCATTTGTGGCGACCTGAAAGCTAAGCTTTCCTGGCCCCCTAATTTGTTTCGTTTGATTCTATTTTCCCCTCCCTCTTGTTTCGCGCCGCCCACCATACAAAACACCCCTCCGCTCCCGAGTCCCCCCCCTCTGAAAGGCGGCAGAGATGCCGGTCACCCAATGGGTGATGCATCATACAGGGACGCCAGAGACTAAACCACCGGATTCCTCCTGCGAGTTTCCCTTGGCCCCCTTAATTCTCCGGAGAGTGGTCTGATTGTGTCCGTGCTCTGGAAATGTCCGGGTTTTTCTTCATGTCTCGCTCTCCCCTCCGTATCTGACCCCACCCTCGAGCATCGAGCTAGCGACGTGCATCCGTCTTCTCTTGCATGGCTGAGCCTGCGGCCGGAGGCTAGGAGGGGTCGGGACACTCTGATGGGAAATGCAGGGTCGAGTGGCTACGTCGTTCTCCAGACGCGTCAGGTCACGAAATCTGCTAGATCAGACTCGGGGAAGTTCAGACCCAGAGTATTGGGACTCTTTGCGGGCCCATTGCATATCATCAGTTCACTGCATGGCCGTTTCGAAACGAATAGAAAGATTGGTCACTTGGTTGATGGGCTGAACGATGCTCAGGTTCAAAGTAGTAAACTCGCGTTTTCATTGAAAAATATGCTGTCCGATGGTGTGTGTTGTCGTTTTCGTAGGTGTTCAAGTGTTGTCGTTTTTGTGGTCGTGGTCGTGGTCGTGGTCATCGTCGTCGAAGAATCACTGTATCCTGCTCGTCGCGATTGTTCTCCGTCCCGTCATTACTCGTCTGCGTTGCAAATGGAAAGGAAAACCGAATACAAATGGTGCCACCTCCTAAGCTTCATGTCTCATCCACCAATCATAAGGGGTTCATAACAATCTTGGTGTTTCTAGTCGTTATAGTATCTCTTTGTACGCTCCTTCCTGGGTGGGGCATCAGACGTTGCCCATCACTAAACATCGAGGTCAGTAGCCGGACTTCTTGGCATGCATGGACTAGAACTCGACATACAAGCAGCGTACGTCAAGTACCACGTCAAGCTAGCACCGCCGTCGATCCAGCCAGGATCGAAGTTGGTACTGTTGAAAAAGTCCCACGCCGTCCTGCCATCAATGGTCGCCAGGTTTCCGTATATGATGCCCCTCCAGCCGCCCGCAATGCTGTCCGCGCGGCCTCCGCTAAAGTACACGTCCCACTCCTCGCGCACAAAGTCGGGAGTGCGGACAAAGGGCGAGGGTGCGAGGAGGGGGATCATATGGATGCCCTGGATGAACTCGATATTAGTGCCAAAATAGGTTGTGTGGTCGATCTTGTTCTCGAAGAGGATACCGGCCACCTTGTTTCCGATAAACTGGGGCGGCTGCACGACGTTGTCGCTCTTGTAGAGGTAGTAATTCTGGAGTGCGCGTGCGATGATAGAGAGCTGCAGGTTGCTTCTCATCGAGAGCATACTGTCTCCCGAGGCGTCTCCCCACATCTTGAGCGCGTATGCGTGCATCATATCCTCCGAGCTTGACTCTTGGTCCTATTTTCTATATGTCATTTGATGCTCTTCGTGCGCGGGCAATGATGTTTACCTTTCCATCGTACGAAGCGTATAGCCCATGCGCCCAGCTGTGGCCATGGTACCAGTCGAAGGCTCGCCACATAGGGAAGTATGGATCCTTTGTGCTGGGATTGGCGACATCTCGTACCAGTGTGTTCACATAGTCCCTGTTATTGTTCAACCAGCCCGGATCCAGGTGAGCAATGGCGGCCGCGGCCAGGATGTGATAACCGTAGTGGAAGTGGTGGTCGTTGTATAGCGTGTTGCCAAAATCAGCGCCATCGTTGCCCGTGACGTAGGTTGCTGAAGACACGACACCTCCCCAAGCACCTGCAATTCTGGTTAGTCCTAGGACTCATCTCTTATGCGAAACACAGCTCACTCTCATGTACTAATGGGTACGTCTGCTGGTTAGAAGCAAACTTTGCAAAAGCCGCCTTGAGTCTATTCAGACCCGACTGTGCTAAGGCTGGGTCTTGCAGAATGTCATTAATCACGACAATCACCAATGCAAATTTGGCAAGAGCCTAAACCCGTGTCAGTCAACATTGTGCAGTGTTATGGGAAGTACACAAACCTTTCCACTAAAATACATGGAGTCCAAGTCGCACTGGGCCATCATATCTTGGGACACCTCCTGGGCTGCTATCCCGCGGATCACGGCCCGCGCATTGTCAGACAGCATAGTCAAACTACCTCTATCAGGACTCCAGGGAGCAAAGTTCATGTCAATGGGCATGTTTGCTTCGGTCATTGTCCACCAATCAGCCAAGACCGCAGTCGCGATGCCCTTGGTAGGGGTCATCATCTGCACCGGCTGAACGGCGTTTCTTGTCGTGGAATCAAATGAGGAGATGTGATGAGGCAGCGCGAACATGACCAGCTTTCCCCCGGGGTGGCCCTCTTTGGAGAAATTGAAGCTGTACGAGCCTGTAGTACCGCTCACGGAGCCAGCCAGCTCGATCGTCGTTGGATAAACACCAGCAGCCTGGTCAAGCAAGGCCTCGCCGTTTCCCGGGTCCTTGGCAACTTGAATGATACCATAGAATGGCTGCGTCGATTGGGCAAGTCCATTGTTGACAACCTGCAAGTCAAGCTGGGGTCCAGTGGTTGCATAGGCATACAGCCGCCAGATTTTGCCATCTTCAAGCTGAAAAGTGAACTTGGCAACGCCGGGCTTTGGATCCTGGGTTACTCGTGTGACTGTCTTGAAGAACACCCCCGTTTTGATAACCGGGGTCCCGCCTGCGTACCGGGCTGTGACGAAGGGCATCCCTTGAACGAGGGGAAATGATACAGCAGGCACAGCTTGGGCGTTTGGCTTCAAGTGAACCGTTGCAGAGAAGGCCGTGATATTGTCGATTCCAACGGCGGTGTCTGGACCAAGCTCTTGGGCGCTGATGACCATTGATTGAATACCTACCGGGTTGATAAAGTAGGCCGCAGCACCAGAAGGCCCGGTAGGCCCAAAGACACGTTGATTCGCCTCGACGTGGGAAATGGTCATGCCGAAGCTGGCAGCGGCCCCTCGTCCTGCTCCCCATGCTATGCCGTAAGGGTAGGTATAGGTCGGCGCAGTCTGGTCCCCCAAGAAGAAGTTGGAGAAGAACTTGTTTGTCTGGAGCGGTGAAGTCGACGTGATGCCCTTCCTCGGAACGGGATGGTCGCTGCGAGCTGGAATAGAGCCAGGAGGCGCCCCCGTGGCGATAGGCTCTGCAAAGATGTTTCCAGATGGCATTGGTGCAGATGGAACTGGCGCAACTGTTGTGACTGGCGATGTTGAGTCAATCAAGCTGGTAGGAACCGGAATACTGTTTGACATAAGAGGACAAGATGTTGCCCTGCCAGAGGTGTCCAGACTACTGGGGATGAATCCGGTTGTCTGAGGGATCTTGTCAGTCAAGGAAGGTAAAATCACTACTGTTCCCGTGGGATCCGCGGTGGTAATAGCGGAGATATCGTCGATGGTCCCAGAAGCTGATGCTGAAGCTTGCTGCGCCCCTCTCGTAACTTTGACTGTAACGGTGAAATTTGCCGTTTCCGTGACGCAGGTGAGGTCGCGTCGGTCTTGTAGCAAGGAGTGGACGTTCAGCTGGCCAACAATTTCCGGGCCTGGGTGCGCGGGGTGAAGCCGAACGTGTTGCTGGTGGGATAAAGCGTAGGCACTCTCGCACAATAAGACCTGTATCAAAGTCAGCCCTACGATCGCCGATTTCAAGGGAAGGCTCGCCATTGCGGCAGAGAATGGTGGTGAGTTTTGTTTTCTTCGTTTCGGCAAATGTGTATTGAGACTTTCAAGCCCAACTTTGGCCCCTGGTACGTGATAGAGCGTTGTGAAACGAGGAGAAGTTTCTCAACTTGTTAGCAAGCACATGGGCAGTGCTCCTAGGTTCATATAAACGGCCATGTTGAGAGCTGGCAGATCAATAATGGAAAGTATCGGCGGCGTTGTGGTTCCTTGACCCGCATACCAGAGCCCAGGGCATGATAAGTTTGGCGGTTACCATGCAACACGAGAGTGCAGGAATGTGGGTGTTCCAGGAACAATAGAGAGGTCTCACCTGTCGAGAATGTAGAACGTCTTGCCAGGGAACTCAGCCAAGTTCGAGAGCAAATCGGGCAGTGCAATAGGGCAACGAAGGGGCTTAGGTACTGAGGAATCGCGATCGGGCAAGACAGACAGGCAGGCTTCCGTGATAAGTCTGTCATGTATCGGTATCGCTGAAAGACACAACGCCTCTTCCTAAAACTAGTTGGTGACGCTGAAAGAAATAAAAAAACGATACGAGGGGCGTGGTATAAGAAGGAAATTGAGTGTCAGCTGCTAGTACAACGTAAAGTTACAGGTGCTTTTGATGTCAGGGCTAAGCGATGAAGAAGCTGCGATGTGAAGGAAGTCCGTACACACACGAGTAATGTTGAACCGAGTGACCCTCTTTGGCTGACGCGTGCTTGCCCTTGGCGTGGGTACTCCTCGGCATCCAAGCTGCCGTTAAATAGCCCTGGAACACTGTTGAGGAAAATAGCCAATAGTGGGAAAGAAATCGTGCAATCGACAGAGCAACTGGTCACTTGGCCTCAATTGAGATCAATGGCATGCATATGGGATTAAGAGCCGTTAACAGGAAGTAGGTTGTCTCTTCCGGAGGGCCAGATTGCCAGCCATGGAGAGGGGGAACCCGTTGAGCCATTTGGCACTCGGGCCAGTGACGTAGGTACTGCCTCCTATGTCCAGCTCAGCTGTACGGATATAGGGGTGGTATTTGCAACTTCAAGTCATGTTCGAAAGGCCTGCAGAGGTTCTCTACCGGTATTTGATCAGCGACGATACCACTATACTGATATGCAGGCAGTCATTTTGATGCAACGAGGTCTTGCCAGTTTGTCACCTGTCAGTCAGACTCTTGGCGTGTTTCTCGGCAAATAAGATTTGGCTTGATAACAAGAATATGATGATAACAATCAAGATGAAGTGTGTTTGTGTGAGAGAGCAAAAGATGCCACAGGGCCGAATGAAGCTTTCGAAATTACCGGCTGGAGCACAACCATTGTTTGAAACGTATCTCAGAATCACCCTCAGGTATCAAATACAAAAGCCACCTCTAGAACGCCTATACCGTCCGCATCAGCTGTCAACGTCCCAAGGCGTCGACCTTTTCCCTGATGCTGTCATCGAGGACCTGCCGCAAGAGACCGCCGGGTGCACCTGTTCTTCTATCGAAGCTCCTGGCCCCGGACCTCCTCAACTTATGGATACGGTATCTATCCTCTTCTACGGTCGGACCCGTAGCTGCAGAAGCCAGCAAAGGCTTCGGCAGTCTTTGCGATTCCTTTCTCAGCTTGTAGGCGCGGTATTGGTCTTCTTTCGCGGCCGCCGCCACGGCATCGGCCTTTTGCCGCATCTCCTCTTCCACTTTCTTCCTCTCCGCGCGCCTCTCCTCCTTCTTGCGCCTTTTCTCCTCGCTATCGTCACCCGTGGTACCCCCCATCTCTTCCTTCTTGCACTTCTGCATTTGCTTCTGGCTGAGCACCCACGGCTGTAGAAGCACCTCGTTCCGGAACCGTGTACGGCGTTCCCATAGCGCCACCTCCTGCTCCGTGGACTTGAGGATCCTGACCTTTTCGACTTTAATCTGCATCTCCTCGCGGAAGGTCGCGAGCCCCCCCTTGACGTCGACGACGCTGCCCACGTCTACGTCCACGCAATCCGCGGGCGGCTGCGGCTGCGGCCTGTTGCTGCTGAGCCATCCTCTCGTGTCGGGTTTCGGAGCACTCGCGTCCGACGGCGGCGGCGTTTTCAGCGCGACGACGCATTCAATGCAGGCCCCGCTGCTGTCGTCAACCGTGTAGATGCGCCGGCCCGAGAAGTCATCGATGGCAACTACAATGCCGACGATGCGCGCCCATTTGATAGGTAGGTTCTTGTGAAAATAGAAATTCTGGACTGCAAGACCAAAGGCCTGTCAGCATGAGCTCGCAATGCCGTGCCAACTTTCGCTGCGGCTTACCTTCATATTCGGGCACGGATTCCAGGGCGTGGATGTCGGATGCGTACAGGAGGCACCATGTGTTAAAGGTTGGGGAGAGGTGAAGGCAGTATCGCGGATAGAGGCCTGCAGATCGGTCGTTCGTCATGGCATGGTCCGCCTGGGTCAGATGCGCCCTATCTATCCGGATCTAACCATGACCTCGATAATGAGTTGCTACGGATTACGGGTGGCTCGTCATGAGACTCGGGAACGCGTCGCGGCGACGTAGGGTGGCACTGGGGAGTTTACTGGTAAATGGTTGACCTGGGGACGTGTACATCCTCCAACACAACGCTAGGTGGCGCCCCGCATTGTGGCGCTAGGCAGCATTACAGGTACCTGAACCACCTGCGCCTAGATTCGGTTTAAGGGAGAAAGGCGAAAAAAGAAGAAAAAAGGGTAAAAAGAAAAAAGGCCGAAAAGCGCGGCCATTCTTGATAGTCAATTCACTTCAACTCCGTCATACTATTGGGTCGAATCCAGCCTTTCCCGTGACCCCTTGCCTAATGTGACCCAGTTCCCAAGACGCCAAACCAACAATGCCAATTCTACCGCTTCGATCTTCGACCTGCCTTCGCGGGTTTACTCTCCTCCGGCTTGGCCTTCTTCAATCGCGCAGCCGCTGCCTGGAAGGCTTCTTCTGACGGCTCTTCTTCCTCGACAGCTCTCTTCTTCCCCTTCCTCGGCTGACTGGTGGCTCCGTATTTGGCGGCGAGATCATCCAGGAACCCAGCACGCTTCTGCTGATTACTCTTGATGAGCGCCGCCAGGTCATCTTCGCCGGTGTCCTTGGCTTTCTTCTTTCCCTTGGTCTTCTTGTCGCCAAAAAGTTTGTCATGTACGCCTAGTTCCTTGGCGTACTCCTCGGCCTCCTGCGCCTCGCCCTTTGCTGCTGTGACACGGGCCGCTTTGGACAGTCTGCTCTCCATTGTGTATCGCTTGAAGCGTGGGACGTCTTCGTTGGCAATGGCATCGTCAATGATCTTACGGAAGCGCTCGTCGTCCTCGAGGACGTCGCTCAACATTACTGACTCGTAGATCTTGTCCATGTCACCCTTGTGCTCTTCATAGGCAAGCAGGACATCGTCCTTCTCTTCGTCGGAGCCTTTGTATTTTTTTGCGAATTTCTCGATTGCATCTGCAGATATCGCATCGCGGAACTGCTCGCGGTAGTAGTCGGACCAGTTGAAGCCTTCAGAGTCGACAATCGACTCGGAAGTTGAGCCGGTGGTATCGTAGCGCTTGCGTCTTGCCGGGTCAGAGAGGATGGCGTATGCGAAGGCAATGGACTGGAACTTTTCCTTGGCCTCATCTCTTTGGTCGTCTGAGACCTTGTCTGGAAGAGGAGAAACGTCAGCTACGACGCAAGATGCGAGCACACCTTGATAGCTTACCTGGGTGGTTTCTGAGTGCTGCCTTCCGGTAGGCTGATTTGACTTGGTCAGCCGTGGCCTCACGCTCGAGCCCGAGAATCTCATAAGGATCGATCACAGGGGGATCGCCGTCAGCCAAGTCATCGGAAGATGGCATTTTTCCAGGATACGATGTTGATATCAACAACGAGGTGATGGAAGACGGGAAGTGGGAATGAGCCCTGCGACGCGTTCAAGTTGGTAGAGACGCGCCAGCTAGAGTGGTCGAGTAGCCCGAAGGTGCCTGCTGCGCCAAACCCACCCAAAGGGCCGTGCGCCACGTGGGGTCTTGAAAGTGGATCATCGGTGGGACGGGGCGTACAGCACCAATACCTACATAGTACTCCGTAGACTTTGACGAGATCTTAAGTCAGAGGCTTCTCTACCCCTCCTACGCTGACCTCGTCGTAACACATATTTTGCCCACTTAAGCTTGTACGCCAGAAGTCTACAAACGTATCGACCAGTTTGGATTCAAAGAGAAACACGAACACAACGCATAGAACAGCAAACCCCTGCCAGTCTCATATACCAGGCAGGCACTTGCAGCGCTCGTGGCACGCTTCTCGAACAGCTCGAAGATGACATCAGAGGTCGATGACATTCAGCGTGTGTCGATAACATCCGGCGACCATTCAGCGTATCTTCAATATGCGCTATCACTCGCAGAGAGGTCGCCACCCAAGCCTACGAACTACAGGGTTGGGGCTGTGCTTGTCAACCCTGCCAACAATTCGATCGTGTCAACGGGGTACACATTGGAGCTTCCTGGCAACACACATGCCGAGCAATGCTGCTTCATTAAACTAGCCGAGAAGTACGGTGTGACCGAGGAGGAGCTTAATTCGGTGGTCAAGACACCTCTGGTTCTTTACACCACCATGGAGCCTTGTTCAACCAGGCTCAGCGGAAATCTGCCTTGTGCTAAGAGGATCCTCCAGCTACAGCCTCTCATCAAGGCTGTCTACGTTGGTGTTCAGGAACCGAAAGAGTTTGTCAGGGACAACACCGGGCGGGGTGCTCTTGAGCGGGCTGGTATCGATTTCGTTCACATCAAGGGTTTAGAGGGCGAGATCCTGAAGGCAGCTACGGCCGGCCATATCAAGAGTCCGTCATGAGAAACTTCTTGGAGCCGTCATTGGCCGAAGCTCCTCCCAAGTGGATATTCATCAATACCCGAGCTGCCGGCGTTGGCAAGTGCAACAGAACGTTTGTTTTGATTTACGGCATACCATACATTGTGGATTCTAGGGCAACTGGCTCAGCAGTAAACGAGTCAAACGGCTAGCGACTGATACCAATCTTTACTGACATGCACACTCTTCTCTGGCAGGAAGAGAAGGAAAACAGATTGCAGACACCGCAAAGGCGGGTACAGTTGGCATAGGCAGGCAAGGCAAGAGCAAACGGGGCAAGCGGCGTAGCAATCCAAGGGGGTTGGAGAAGTACGGCGGGTAGGACCAGAAGCCAGAAACTCTTTGTTGTGGTTGAGAAGAGAGGGTCTGTTACTTTCTGTCGTCCACAGCCGGTGCTGCTCCCCCATCCTCAGTCTGAAGGTGTTTTCAAAAGTGGAAAGTAATGCTCTAGAAACTGTTTTGCACAGGCCCGTCGTACATAATGAGTATCGTATGGTGAGTTGTGAGGGCTGTCAGCCTGATAGCTTCTGCTAGATGAATACAGCAGAGGCAGCTGTAGGAGGACCTTGCCGCAACTGTAAGGTTTCCTATAGACCCAAAACAATCCACATAAACCAAATCTGATCGCAGCGAGAACAATCATCAATGAGAGGGGGACTGTCTTGCAATCATTTCATCATTATTACATGGGCCAACTAAGGAGCCTACCGGAACAGCTGGGGTTGTCCATGCAGCTAACTCACGGTCTCCCCTCACGCATCCATGGACGATGGACGGCAATCACATGCGAGTGTCATGCGGCGTTTCTATGTTGCCATCTTTGCCAGGTGTCTACAGTACGCCGGCAGAGCATCAATCAGAGCGACAGCTGAGCACTCTGGCGAAAAAAAAAAAAAAAGAAAGAAAAGAATGGACGGTCGCTCTCACATTCACTGTCATTGAGAGCAGCCTTGTTTTTCCTTTTTTTTTTCCCCCCACCCGAGTGTTGAGATAGCGTAGTCAAGGCAGGGTTGTTGTGTACTGCGCCAAATACTTTAACAACTTATGATACCGTAGACACTCGCGAGATTGATAAAGCGCTAATTAGAAGGCTAACCGTAAGAGGTAGTAGGCTAGCTAAATTCAGCTAGCGTACATCTACTGCGCTAAGCCTTCATTGGAAAGCGGTCAACTACTTGACCCCACCTACCTTCTTGCCAGCCAGCCAGCCAGTCCATCCAACCTATTCAGCCCATCTAGATCCCTGCTTCTGCCAGCAGACTATACCCCTTACAGCGGCCGTCAAAGCGGCTGCCATGCCCCTTGCCGATTAGCGTTTTATCAATCTCGCGAGTGTCTACGGTAACTTGGCCCCTACTTGGGTACCTACTGCATAGCACATCTCTAGCCAATCAGCTACAGACTCGCTGCAGTGAACGGCCTCCCGCATTTTTTACCCATCTTGACTTGCTTGTTTGCAGCCGCGTCATTGCCAGCAAACAGGCTTCTGATCTTCCATCCAGCGTTTGGTAACAATCGACTTATGCGCTCCTTCCTCCGGCGAATTAAACGATATCCAAGTAGATATACCGGCGTTTCCATGCCACAGCTCAGTTGAGCCTTCCACTTCCACTTCCACTACATAGAGCCCAATCGCTTGATACCCCTGCTCTAAAGCTCGCCCGAGTCGCAATTTTATGCTTCGTCGGACCTTTACTTATCTAATTTGAATCCATCCTATGGCGGACTCTGGACGTGGAGGCCGTGGCCGCGGCCGTGGCGATGGTGAGAACCGTGGCCGCGGCCGAGGAGGAGGATTCCGTGGTGACCGCGGCGGTGGTGGTGGGTTTCGTGGTGATCGAGGCGGCGGTGGCGGTTTCCGTGGTGATCGAGGCGGCGGTGGCGGGTTCCGGGGCGACCGCGGCGGCCGTGGTGGTGGTGGTTATGGGGGAGATCGCGGAGGCCGGGGCGGCGGTGGTTTTAATCGTGGTGGTCGCGGCGGTCGCCCTCCTCCGTTCGATGGCGAAGGTCCATTCTACGGGCATGTTCACCATCACGTCCTTGACACAAAGGGTCAGCTAACAGTGATAGTCACAACATGCCCTCTATTCCCCAGCCTGACAACAGCATCACCGAGCTCGAGAACAGGATCATCAAGTCCCACCAGGTCAAGGACACCGACCTCGTCAAGAAGATGAGCAGCATGACCATTACCGAGGCAAACACAGCCGCTCTTATGCCCCGTCGTCCCGCCTACGGCACCTTGGGCAACAAGGTTCTCCTTTGGGCAAACTACTTTCGCTTGACTGTGAACCCCAACATTATCTACCGATACAACCTCGAGGTTCGCAAGGGTGAAATCAAAGAGAAGGAGCCCGTCAGCATTGAAAAGGGCAAAGGCAAGGCCAAGGAGAAATCGCAGGGTGGCGGCGGCGGCGGCGGCGACGGCCCTCCTGCTACGATTCCCGCTCGCAAGCTGAAGATCATCCTTCAACATGCCATCGAGGAGCTTCGGAGACTCGAGCCCGGCGCCATTGTCGCCACCGAGTTCAAAAGCCAGCTCGTCTCGCTCAAGAAGCTCAAGTTGGCCATCAACCCTATCGCCGTCATCTTCAAGCAAGAAAGGTCCGATCGCCAGGAGTCGTACATGGTGACTATCGTTGGCGAGACGCAAGCTCCTTTGGACGACATGAAGGACTATCTAAAGACCATGATCGACAAGAGTGACACGGACGAAGCTCATTTCCCCAGGTTCGCGACCTCTGTGGACGCTCTTGGCGTCATTCTCGGCTACGGTCCACGGAGTAGTGAACAGGTCACTGCTATTGGCAAGGGCCGTTTCTTCCCGTGGGGTCCCGGAGCAGCCACCGCCCAGCTTGGCTACAATGACCCGCTCACGGCTATTAGGGGCTACTTCCAGAGTGTCAAGCTTGGCACTGGTAGGATGCTCCTGAACGTCAACGTCACTCACGGCGTCTTCAAGACCTCGGTCAATGTCAGTGAACTTTGCCGTTGGTTCAATGTCGCCGTATTCGGTCAGGGCGACCCAGTCGCAGCCAAGAATGCAAGAATGCGCCTCCGCACTTTGTCCAAATTCCTGGCTCGCACTCGAGTCTTCGTCAAGTTCCGTGACTCCAACAACAAGGAGATCACAGGTAAAAAGACCATTCTCGGTCTTGCGGATAGATTCGACGTGTCCCAGCCAGTCCTGGGCAGAGATGTGCTCTTCCAACCCGAGTTCAATCATGGCGGTCCTCGAGAGGTCAAGTTCAACCTGCAGGCGCCAGAGGGTAAAGACAAAGTCATGGGCAATAAGCCGCCCGGCTTCTACACCGTCGAGCAGTATTGGACGTGGAAATACGGCAAAGCTCCCGACAGGACCATGCCCCTCGTCAACCTTGGATCGCGCGAGAAGCCCATGTTCTTCCCTGCTGAGCAATGTACCATCATGCCCGGCCAAGCCGTCCGCTCAAAGCTCACTGGCGACGAAACGACGGCGATGCTCGACTTTGCTTGTCGGTCTCCCTTTGCCAATGCCATGTCCCTGACGGTCGACAGTTGTTCCGCTCTGGGCTTTGACAGCGACCTGCTCAGCGGATTCGGTCTGGAGGTGGACAAGAAGCTTCTAACGGTCATTGGGCGCGAGCTCACTCCACCTCCTGTGTCCTACAAGAACAAGGACATTACAGCCAGAGCAGGTTCCTGGAACATGAACGGTGTGAAGGTCGCGAAGTCTGGACGGAAGATCGATGCCTGGACTTGGGTGCGCATCATTGACGATGACAAGGGCTCTTACGTCGGAACCGATGACGTGGGACGTATTGTCGGAAACTTCTCTCGGTTCCTTGAGACTAGCGGCATTCCAATCAACCAACAAACTGCTGCCACGCCACGCGAGATCCACGTCCGTCACGGCAATTACGACGTGCCCATCGACAACTGGTTTGCCGGCTTGAAACGACATCTCAAAGGTAACACCAAGAACTACTTCTTGCTTGTCGTCCTTCCACGTCAAGACACAGCGCTTTACGGCACCATCAAGAAGCTCGCAGATACGCAGTACGGTGTTCACACGATATGCGTGGTAGAGAAGACTTTCATGAAAGACAGCCCACAAACTTACGCCAATGTCGGACTCAAGTGGAACTTGAAGAACGGAGGCGTCAATCACATTGTCAAGAACCCAATCGACATTATCAAAGCCGGCACGACCATGGTTGTCGGATACGACGTGACTCATCCCACGAACATGCCGAACGACAAGAATGCTGCGCCTAGTCTGGTCGGGTTGGTGGCCAGCATCGACAAGGATATGGGACAGTGGCCTGCAGTGGCGTGGGAGCAGAACGGTCGCCAAGAGATGCTTGGTGATGAACTGACCGGTCACTTCGAGGATCGCCTGCGTCTTTGGATGAAACACAACCAGAATAAGCTGCCGGAGTACATCGTCATTTACCGCGACGGCGTTTCCGAGGGCCAGTTTACACAGGTTCTCGAAATCGAGCTGCCCATGATCCGCAAGGCGTGCTCTAAGCTTTACACGGCCGGCCGCAGGCCCAAGTTATCGATCATTGTATCCGTCAAGCGCCACCAGACCCGGTTCTACCCAACTTCGGAGCAGACCATGGACCCCAAATCACGCAACATCCGCAGCGGCACTGTAGTCGACCGCGGCGTCACCCAGGCCCGCTACTGGGACTTCTTCCTCACGGCGCATACGGCCTTGAAGGGAACCGCCCGCCCGGCACACTACACAGTCCTCTTGGACGAGATTTTCCGCGGCAAGTACGGCGTCGGCGAGACTGCTGCGAACAATTTGGAGAAGCTGACGCACGACCTGTGCTACTTGTTCGGCCGAGCGACCAAGGCTGTCAGCATCTGTCCGCCTGCATACTACGCTGACATTGTATGCGAGCGAGCCCGTGTGCACCGTCCTGAGCACTTCGATGCACCGGACACAGCCTCGACCATTAGTGGTGTATCGGGCCTGACCACGAGCAGACGCGTGCATGAGAACTTGAAGGACACCATGTATTATATCTAAGGGAGAAATGTGCTGGATATTGCGAAGACAGATTGGATCATGCAATTTGGAGAGACGGCGCGCAGACACCAGAAATACTACACAGCAGTCGCGTGATAGATTGAATTGAATCTTACTCAGGAGTTGATGAAATGCACACCGTAGAATATTGCGACTCAAATTGTAGTGATAACCATGCCGTGCCGTGCCGCGCCTATAGAGCCTCTGCCGCGCCCGTGTCCGGGCCGGGCTTCGTTACCGGCACCAATAAGGTGCACGGACCTTCTATAGGCTTCGGTTGACGTCAGTGGGGCATGGCGAGGGGCAGCATATGCACTAGTGCCTAAGCAGGTTGGTACTGGTAGCGGGGTGATCCGACTGCTATGTAATAATTATTGGAGCTCGACACTTCGTCATGCACTACTGACACAGCACATGTTATGTCCGAAAAGCGCTCCGTCTCACCAGCTTCAATCCCCGAAACCCATTCCCCGCTGCAACTTCTTCATAAGACCTATTGCACGCAAACCCATTGCTTCTATGAACACCTCCAGAGCTCTGCAGAGAATCAAGCTAGTTCAGAAAATACTCACAGCTAGGCCATCAGGTGAGGTTCAAAAACCTGGGTCTATTCATGTTCATGTTGAGAGCGTGTGCACTTACTCCTGTCAACCCCGTTAGGACGAATCAGTCAATTTGCAACCATGGCTACCACGACAGATGTCAAGAAGTACAAGTTCAACCACTCGATGGTGAGTATTCCGTCCCAGCTCCGGAAACCGATTTAAGCTAACAATGTGCCAAAGATTCGAGTGAAGGACCCCAAGGCTTCGGGTATGATGAAAAAGAAGCCCCGCCACTGGCGTGCCTCGACTCCCCTTACTGACCGCTACTAGTCAAGTTCTACGAGACCCTCGGCATGAAGGTTATTAAGAAGATCCCGCAGCCCGAAGCCAAGTTCGATCTCTACTTTCTGGCCTACGACTCGCCTAACGCTCTATCGGCGGGCAACGACGCCTTAGACCGTGAAGGGATTATCGAGCTGACGCACAACTACGGTACCGAGAATGACCCCGAGTACAAGATCAACAACGGTAACACGGAGCCACACCGAGGCTTCGGCCACACTTGCATCAGCGTCGACAACATCCAAGCGGCGTGCCAGCGCCTCGAGGACGCCGGCTACACCTTCAAGAAGAAGCTTACAGACGGCAGGATGCGCCACATCGCGTTCGTGCTGGACCCGGACCAGTATTGGGTCGAGATCATTGGGCAGAAGCCGATCGAGCAGACGGAGAACGTCAAGGAGACGGATGTGACGACATACCGAATGGTGGGTTGTCTCAGCATCGAGGAGCGGAAAGAACAAAGGTTGACGGTCTAACAGAACCACACGATGCTCCGCGTCAAGGACCCCAGGAAGTCGCTTAAGTTCTACCAGGAAGTTCTTGGCATGTCGTTGATCCGCAAGAACGAGTCCAGCGATTTCACGCTCTTCTTCCTGGCCTACGGCGATCTCAAGGAGGGCGAGAGCCAGGCGCAGCGCGAGGGTATCCTCGAGCTAACGTGGAACCACGGTACCGAGAAGGACGAGAACTTCAGCTACCACAACGGCAATGACCAGCCTCAGGGCTTTGGACACATTTGTGAGTTCACCTCTGTCATGGACAGATGTTTGGGGGATTCGGGTGGGGTAAAGGGTGTGAAAGCTAACAATGGACGGGAAACAGGCGTCTCGGTCGACAATATTGAGGCTGCATGCGCGCGTTTCGAAGCCTTGAATTGCAACTGGAAGAAGCGCCTTACCGACGGTCGCATGAAGAATATTGCTTTCCTGCTGGATCCCGACAACTACTGGGTTGAGGTTGTTCAGAACCAGAGCTTACCAGCTTAATTGGATAGGGAGGAACAACCGATTGTGACTCGGGGAAGCGAAGCGGAACGACATTCGAACGAAATGGTGGGGCGGATGAGTCGGTGCAGGGTGGGGGCGTACTACAAATGAGTTGTACATTGTATTTGACTTCCAGTCGACAGAGCCATTCCGGCGGGTCCTGGGTGATTGCTGGTCCCTAGATAGGTCGTGAGCCCCAGCGGATACTCTAGGACGCTCGCATATACCTGCCGATGTATTCTTGAATTGAGATAGGCTCCGAAAGAAACTGATTTGGAATGGCCAATCCTGATGATGGGATAACAAATTTTATGTGGCTGGCGCTGTGTACACGGCAGATAGGTAGTTAAATACGTACCTCATTACAGTTGGGATCCGAATGTTAAAAGAACAGTCCGCCGATCCTCGGATAACCACGCGGTATGGAATCAGTCTGGAATCAATCACAGCGCATGATTCCACACTATGATTCCACACTATGATTCCATACTGTGGCGTTGCAGTGCCGCTGTGGCGGAGGGGCCTTCAATTGTCTGCCACCCCACCAACCAAAAGTCGTTGACGCAACAGCCGTCGCCGAGCTTCCTTGCCGTCAGTGGTCACGGGCCCTGTAAATATCCTTCAGGGATCCTATTTGTCACTGACCTCACCACCCCTCCAACGTTGTGACATTCGATTGAGACGCACGGTATCGAGACGGCAACGCAGTTCCCTTATTTAAACCTCCCGACTCCCAGCTCAGGCCCCTTTCTGCCTCGCTTATCATTGCAAAATACTTGTTCAAACTAGCAAACCCGCCGACTACCAACCGGTGAGAAACTTACAAAAGACAAGACGGTTGACGAATTGCAAATGCGATTCTCACCCTTCATCTCCACGCTCGTATACACGTTCTCCAACCTTACCCGTGTTCGCGCCGCGCAGTATCCTGGGGCCCTCCCCCCCCTCGCTACCTCACGCCCGCTCCGCGCTTCTATGCCCTCGATCCCGTTCTTTGGCGCTCTATTCGGCTCTTCCGCCTCGCAGCAGGACAAGATGTCGTATTCTGTCAAGAAATCCGACGATGAGTGGCGGGCTGTCTTAAACAAGGGTGCGTAGTTCCGCTTACGGTCGCCGTGAGGTTTTGCAGCGGGATAGGAACTGACACCGCCACTAGAACAATTCCGCATCCTCCGCGAGAAGGGAACCGAGCCCGCGGGCTCCGGAAAGTTCGATAAGCACTACCCCGAGGAGGGTGTCTACGCCTGCGCCGGGTGCTCCGCGCCGCTGTACAAGGCTTCGCACAAGTTCAAATCGGGCTGCGGCTGGCCAGCCTACTTCGACTCGCTGCCCGGCGCCGTTGAGCGCCATGAGGACCGTGCCTTCGGCATGTTGAGAACGGAGATTGTTTGCTCCAATTGCGGCGGCCACCTGGGGCATGTGTTCAAGGGCGAAGGCTTCGACACACCCACGGATGAGCGGCATTGCGTCAACAGTGTAAGCTTGACGTTCTCGCCCGATGAGAAGAAGGCCAGCGAGGGAAGTGGCGAGGGTGCGAAGGGCGAAAGTAAGGTTTGAGGCTCGATGGATGGATCTATCAATGAATTGGGGTGATCTGTCTAGGGCGTTGACGATGGCGAGGTTTGGGTCGGTGTTGTGATGCTGAGAGGGCGCCAGGGGGGCATGCATGAGATGCTACTATAAGATTGAAGACTACGGTTTCGAATGTTTTTACATCAACGGACATGGACGAGGTAGCCAAAAACATTGCGCAAAAAGACCATAGTCGTCGAATCTGACACTCAACCATATTGGCCAAGTGTCTGTCTCAGTGATTTTCCAAACTTTCTGCCTTGTATTTTATTGTTATGACCGTGCCGTTTTCCTCGCATCATCTTTGGTGACGGATAGGTTTGGGATTGGCACGACTTTGCCAATGAATTACTAATACATTACTTGTCGCCCAGACCAAGGGCCTAACCATGCGCCATATACTGCTGTCTTTATTACTTTGGTCTACAGTTTGTTCCATGGAAGGAAGATTATGCACCCTTCTGACTTAGTTTCATAACCGCATATGTCAGTCAAAGTCTATGTGGCTTGTATACCTTCTTTCTCTCCAGATTCGGTTCATGGCACCCTGGGACTTGCGTTAATGTGACTGCGAATCAAGGGACAGGAACGTCGGTGAGTTCAACATCATAGCGGACAATTATTGCCAGAACCATGGTTGCCCAGACTCTTTCAGTGCTTTAGCAAATATGACTGTTTACCGGGAATGGCATCTCAACGACCAACCATTCTTAAACATTAACGCCCTCAAAGTCTAGGCAAGCCCTGTGGCTATTCATCTAACGCTTCCTACACCCCTATCTCCGAAGAGTCGATGTTTGCAGCGTATATAAAGCAATGCTGATCTTCCGCACCTGGTATTCTTTTCTTTTCTTTCTCTATCATAACCTTGCCCATACCGGCAACAACCTCGAGGCTGAAAGCACTTTCTCGCCGTCTGTCATGGCTTCGCTCATGAAACCCTCCCAGCCCGGAAACAAGCGCGGCATCGACTTCTAGCCCACGCCCATCAGCCCCCTAGTCTTCTGTCTGAACACAAGGACAAGTACCGCAAGTCTCGCAGCTGGGATTGCAGACGCGGCCCCATTGCCGTCTCTGGGGAATCCGCAAATCTGTTCCAAACCATGTTCTAGACTGGCCCTGTCGATGAGCTGGCTGTTGACGGTAGCGACGCATAGTCGCCTCATGGCACATACACTGCCACCGAGAAGCACTTGCCGTATAACATGATGTTTATCAACTCTGCTCCGTCTGGTCCCATCCAGGTCAAAGAGCACATTTTCACCGAGAACGCTAACGGATAGACTTATTCTATCTCCTTTGTCGAGTTCATCTACTACGAGACTCAAACCGTCCCGTCTCTTGATCTTGATCACTCTGAAGAAGTTTATACCACGGAGCATATTATTAAAGGGACCAATGAGGATGATACCTCCATCTTTTTTTGGTTGAGTTCACTTACTACAACACAGGCGATAGCGTGCTTGAACGCTGGCTGCGTCTCTTATCTAAACACCTCGAGCATACACAATGTCTATGCCATCGTAGCAACCCAGTTAATGCTGCATAATATCAAATGGCACCCTCCAACGTCAAATAACTGCCTTCGGCGCTAACGTACCACTCAACGCATCGCACTGCTTTCAGTATCACGGGCGTGTGATGGCGTTCACGAGCTTCTCGTAAGGCATATCGCACATAGCTAGGCCATGCCGGTCAATGGCGGTCTGGCACAGATAAATGATGTTTTGCTCCAGTTCCTCGAGGGCTTTGGTGTCCTCCATGCGTTGTGATGTTCCAGTAGCGGTCAGTAGTCGCTGGAAGCAAGCTTGTTGAAGATTTCTGATATCCCACATAAGTTGAAATTTGGCTACGAATATATCTTCGTCTTTTGCGGAAGTACCAGATGGAACTGGCAAAGTTTGTGTGCCCTGATCCATCTTCTCAAATGTCAGCTTAGGAAGCACATTGCTGCCATCCGTTATCATCGATATCTTTTCTGGCCTTGCCACAACAAAAGTCGAGTCCAATTCACCCTCTGCTTCTGGCGCCTCTTTCGGCAAGGTTAAGCTTGAGTCTTCAGCGGGTGCCTCAGTGGCGTCCTCATCCTCAAACCCCTTTGCCAGAAAGGTCTCCGTAGGATATGTCGTATTGGATGAAGACGCAGTGACGAGGCCTTTACTTCCGAGTTGTTCGTTGACCTTCTGAACGGCATGACTGGGGTTTTGATTAATCGTGGTAATAGTGGGTGCGTCCGTTTGCCGTACTATGGCCTTCCGTCTAAAAGGTACAGAAGGAATAGTCGGCAATTGTATCGGTGAGGTGGACACGGGTTTTTTGCTTGAATCAGACTTTTGTTTCTTTGTGACCGGCTTGCTGATGAGGTCGCAATTCTTTCGTTTGACTGTGAGTACCCTTTTCTGCACTGGCTTTTCAGCTTGTTCACCTGATAGTCGAGGCCTAGAGATGGTCTGTGGTGTGGGTTGTTGCGAGGCTTCCTTCCCCTGGCTCGATTCCATCGAACCACTTCCCTGGTCTAAAACCTCAGACTGTTCTTGTGATCGTTTCTGAACAGTTGGCTCCGCCTGTTTTCCTGACAAGAAAGGCAGCTCACGCCGAGGAGGGAGCATGTCTCGAAATGCGGCACCGGAGCTGGGCCTCGATCTTGGTTGATCGATCATGTCGAGTAAAAGGCTCTCGGCGACTGGACTGAAAGCCCTACCTAAGTCGACGACTGGCGGGGAAAAGCTCTGGAGCCGCCTATGGTGGGTGGTAGGTGTTGATTGGAGAACTGGTGCATAGTGCCTGTTTTGAGAGTATGTAAAATGTGTTCCCATACCCTGGTGGTCTGTAGATGCAGTATGCGCTCTCTCATATGTATGAGAGGATTCCATTGGAAGAGAGGAAAGAGAAGTCTCATTGCGGTGCCTTATAGAACTCATGGGCTGATGGTCATTTCCATATACGTTGCGGGCTCGTGATGATGGAATTCTCTCGTCCGGGACAATGTGATTATTCAGAGACGAGCCCGACCGCCCAGAGTAGTGCTGGTACAGAGGAGCAGTACTTCTTCCGGAAGTGAAAGGATGGTTTGTGGACGAGGATGGGTAGCTACCGGTCACTGATGATGACCGGAATGGTTGTTGAGAAGCCGCTTGACGCGTAAATCCACGCAACGATTCGACACGTATGGCAAGATCGTGAAAGAGTCGCAGCACCTGGTCCTGGTCATTTCGGTTCTTGAACTGGAGTACCAAATCTCTGGTCATCTGTAGATAGTAAGTAAGCTTTCATACGTAAATGATGATGGAATGGCTTCAAAACTACATCGTGCGACTTCGCTCTGATACTCATAGACCCCCTTTCCTGCTTGTATCGAACGCCGTAGACGAACTCAGGGGCCACTTTGCCATCACGACTACCGAGACCTAGTTTGAGCTGAAATGCTAGTTAAGACCAGAATATTGTATATGGTATAGGCCGACTTACTGCTGGGCGGTCTTGCAACGGGACGACGAGTACGTGGTTTGGCTCTTTAGTTAGTTGACCCCCTGGCCCAACAGTATTTGCAAGAAGTTTCTCCTGTTTGATTGTAATAACAGCATTGTCTAACATTGAAATGGTATCCCATTCGAATGCATCGAATAGTTTCTGGCGAACACAAGCCTGGCTCAACGTGAAAGCCCAACTCTGGAGTTTGGGCGCCATATTCTAGGGCCCCCGCGAAAATTCCTTGAGATCGCGGGATGTAGAACCGGGAACTGTCCCAAGAATATAATTGAGAAGGAAAATCTGTAGCTTTGCGACCACGTAGCTTACATGACCGCTGATGACAACTTCAGATCTCAAGTGCGGGGTTAGTGAAGGAGGATGGTAAGCATAGCATTGATGGCCTGCGCTCTGAATGAAGAGATTCTTGGCCGTCTTGGAGTAAGATATAGCAGTACAGAGCGTTGGGAGCTTCAAAGTTGTCGTTCGGGAACCAGAAAAGATTGAGAGGAAGATGCAAATGTTGATTTCGGGTAGAGAGCGGAAAGTGCCAAGCAGCGATCTACCTTATGTAGGTAGGTACTGTACACCCCTGCTCGCGCAGCTTCTGGGGAAAATGCAGCTCAGGTGGGTCTCGTCCAGATACGGGCAAGTGTCTGCTTCGTTAGCTCAGGCACACAACTGCCCGATAAAGCCAGATTGATCACGTGGAGATAAGACTGAAGGTGACAGGGGAATTTTCAACGTCGCGTAGTGCAAGGCAAAACACGGTTGTGTTGGTTGTCATCCGGCGCATCACTGACCGATCGCAAAGGGCCTCGAACCTGCTTGCGCAACAGCCCATTCAACCCCCTCCCTTCATTGGGTGCTGCGACTTTGCGACTTTCCATATCAGCATTGAGCGCACCCCTCGATTGACTGGCCTAATCCGGAACAGCATCGCGCAACTCTTCGTTTGACTCCCTAGCGCGTTCTGGAACCTCACAGGCCACGGCCTTCAACAAATACACGGATCCATTCAAGTGATCCGTTAGCTTCCTTTGCATCACGACTGCTACCCATCGCACGTGTCTGATAAATACTGCTCGACAGCCTTTCCGATCGACCCAACATGGCGCCCTCAAAGGAAGCTGAGGTTGAGCTTCACTCCATCAACCGGACCCCCGAATACGAGGAATTTATGGCCAAGCTGAGAGCTTACCACCAGGAGCGAGGTACAACTCTCGAGGTCGAGCCCAAGGTGGGGCCGGTCTACCTTGACCTCTACAAGACGTTCAACCATATCGTTGCCAATGGCGGCTACGACAAGGTGTCCGATGAAAAGCTGGCTTGGCGCCGGATGGCCGAGCAGCTCGGTATTCACTCCTCCAACGTAGCCTCGACTGCCTTTTCATTAAAGGAGAAGTACTACAAAAACCTCGCTGCCTACGAAATCAAGTTTGTTCATGGCAAGGAACCGCCTCCGAAGGACATCTTGGAGGACGTGTCGGCTAAGGGTGGCGGCCTCTTAAGCCGCACTAGGGAGAACTTCCGAGGAATCAAGCGTGATAGCGGCACAGTCGGCGACTCTGCAGCTGCTTCTGGTGATGATGGCACTCCTACCCGAGAGCGGCCAACACCCGATGCTGCTCCCACGTCCAGTGTTCGAGCTTCGCGAGGCCTGCGCGAAGCTCCGCCTCAGAGAGTCATCTTCCAGCCAGATACGGGCCCATCTAGACCGACTCGCCATGCTTCCGGTCAGCAGCTGAGCCACAGCAACACACCCACTCCCGTCAGCCAGCCAGGCAGTCATCATGCAACGTCCCAGCAGGTTCAACACACTCCAGTGCCTCTTCCTCATCAGCCCAGGGCCCCGCCTCGTGGACCTAGCGGCAGCTTCAACCCGCCCGATGCCGAGAACACGTCGATCGGTGTTGAATCCTTTCTCCCACGCTCCTTGCAGCCCCAGCAGCAACAACATATTCTTCCGATGCGCCCTGTTGATACGCCGAGTAACAATCCGTCCGAATTTGCTCGGCGCCGTCAGATCAGACGCTCTCTTATGGAGGCCCCTCGTCGTAGTGGACCCTATCCTGGAGGTAAGGAACAAATCTAGTGAGCGGACCATGCGTATTTGCTGACTAGCTCTTAGTCGGTTACGACGGGCCGAACATCTACATCCGTTGTTTGTACGCCTTGCGCTCAGGCACTTTCGAAGAGCAGCAGTTTGCGCTCTACCATCTCGTCAAGATCTCATACGAACGTCATGACAAGTTTAAATTCGAAGGATTTCCCGGGCTCAGCGAAGGCCTTGTCGAGAAAGTCTTGGAGGTTGGCAGCATTTTCTACAATGTGAAGTGGAAAATCTCTTGGGTATCACAGGTGGCCGCCGATAATTTCGACACCCTCGATGGCAATGAAGGAACTGAAGACATCCTTGAGCGCATCGACAATCTCGAGCCGAAGGAGGTCAATGAACACATTGTGCCCGAGGACCTTGCGGATCAGATGGTTCTCATCAACGAGGCGGCTTTGACGCTGAGAAACATGTCCCAGCTACGAGAGAACGCTGCTCATCTGGCCGACTTTCTGCCGATCAAGGACCTCATTTGCATTGTCCTGAGTCTTCCAAAGCACGAGTGGGTGGTTGAAGTGAAGCATGCGATGCTTGACATTGCCGAGGCTCTAACCCCCTACATTGAAATCGACTCTAGCGACCCCTTGTACCAGGTTCTCATGTGGCAACTGAACGAATCGGACGACCGCGGCATCATACTAACGGCTCTTCGCGCGCTCGGGCGCATCTCAATGAACCTCGAAGCTACCAACCGTCTGGATAAGGTTCCTACAGCCGTTCTGACTAAGATCGGCGAACTGATGCTGCTTAATGATGATGAGCTGAAAGATGCTTGTCTCGATTTCCTGTACCAGTACACAGCAGTCGTCAGCAACGTTGACAACCTAGTCAAGGCCCTCAACTGCGAGCATTTGGTCCAGCACCTGGTTCGCCTCCTTTCCCATAACGCTAGACGATACCAGGAGGAGACGCTGTTGAGGCCCATGATGAAACCACCCTCGACCGATGAGCCTGCTGCCATGCCTGAAGACCTATTGCAGGATCTGCTGAAGCTGGAGGAACCTGAGCGATGCAATCAATGGGTCAAGTGCTTCTTTGAGGAGGACAAGGATTCCTTCGTCACTCAGATTGCAGCATGGCAGGCATACCAAAATGCTTTCAAATCGGCACTCCAGGCCATTGGTCAACCCCTCATCACACCAGCCGACTTTATCAGAAACAGCTGCTCGGTCTATAAGGGCTCCAAGGCTGAAGTCTGGGCCGGCAGCGGTGTTCCTGGAGAGGTGCAGCAGAAATTCATTATTCATGGCATCCGATGCCGGGTCCGACCTGTGGGTATCAAGGGCGAGGTGTTCCTTCGGTGCCTTTGGGACTCGGCGTCTGGTCGACCAAACGAGAAGTGCGGCCATTTCTTTGGAAACAAGGAGACCATGTGGAACCATGTTGTCAAGGTTCACCTCGGAATAACTCGCAACGAAAAAGGTTACTTCGACAATAAGGAGGAGGATATTAGATGCCGGTGGGCCGACTGCACCAAGTACCCGAAGCCCACAAAGATGAAGCTCGCCCTCATGGGTCATCATCTTCAGACGCACTGCTGCCAGATCTTCAATGGCATTGCCATCAACGAGAGGAAGGCGCAGGCTGGACCTCAGCCTAGTGACAATCTTGTGGTCCACTTCGAAGAGACGGCCACAGCCCCCGACGAGCAAAACCCTTCGGCTCCTCCTCAAGCGGCTGGCATCCCCCTCAGTGCGGTGTTGATTCTCCGCAACATCGCCCGCAACGTTGTCAAGACACCTGCGCAAGAGGATCTCCTCAAACTCCATGAATTGGGTGGTGAGGCTGGGGGCTGGAATGAGCGACTATTCCGGACTGTGCTGCCCCGTCTCTACGAAGTCATGACTGAAAACAGGGTTTTGGTAAGTTTGACCTGCATCACAATTTGCCACCCGAAGTTAACATATTTTGTGCACAGCGACCCCACGTGTTTTCACTCATCCAGCTCGCCGAGTCCGAGAGGGACATCTAATACAGATCACAGACCCGCACAGCCCTGCCCTTTTGGAGGCCCTAATCTCTGCTCCTCAATCTTGGATTGTAAACAATCTTGAGCTGGTGTGGCATTGCAAGGGCGCTCGCTCATGGTGGCAGTACGAGTGACCTTAAACAAACTCTCTCTTTGTATGAGACGAGTGATTGTTCCGTGGGGTCCATGTTCCCGATTCGTAGCCATGAACTACAGCCTAACATGGCATGGAGTCAGCGAGTGACCGGGGCATGGCACCTTTGTGCTTTTTGGGATGGCGAATACCCAGGCGTTGGGGAGGGTTGACCACAAAACTGTTTGCAAACGTGGGATAAGCAGGCAGTGTGGCGGTGTATTTCCTGTTTTTGTCTTTAATTCTCCGGATCAGACAGAGGTGCATTTCTCCTCGATGACCCTAAGACCAGTGGACATTTTCCAGCGTTCATTCGCCTTGATAGTGCTTCGGCTGGGAGAACCTTTACAAGAGAGAAAGCTGCGGAAGAACAAGGCCAATTGTTGCGCAAGGAACATGTCTGACAGAGACGAGTCATCTCGCACCAAACGTTGCCATTGTGTAGTATAGAACCAATCCTGAAAAATAAATTTGATGGGGGGCACAATTTTCCTTCAAAATCGAGACTTGGTGCTACCGTTGTGTAGGTATCTCAGGAAGGGAGGAGCTGCAGAGGTTTGCGAGTCGCGGAATCTTTGCCGGCGGCTTGTTAACGTAGTTAGCTACTGTCCGCTTCACCAACGCAGGCGGATCGGGTAGTAATCGACCCCGTTTTTTGTTGTCGGATGAGCTTTGTAATTTCAACCCCCCCCCCCCAATGATATCGTCTCCACGATGGCTACTATTGGACATCGTGGAGTCAAGGGAAGCCCCAGGTAAGAAATCTGGGCCCTCTCTCGTATCGTGGAGCCCCCGTCAAGAGGGGGGGAAGGGAAGGGAATCCGAGGAAACGGCAGCCCCATCCCTGGGCCTGGGCAGGGTTCACGATGGTCAGCCCCGGTGCTTCTTAGCCGCGCCGCCCTCGTGGGTAATGGTGGCCCAGTTGAGTGCGGAACCAAAGAGGGGGAAGGCCCGGGCCGAAGATTTATGGCCCTTCCACCCCGTCCATCGGATCCATCACGCCCTGTCATCATCTCACGATGCACCCGTTGTCTTGTCGCTCGCTTTGACAGGCGGGGTAGTAAGATCGACAACAACAACAACGACCACCACCACCACCACCAACGTCACCACATACGGCGCCAGAGCTCAAAATATTTGGTTGTAGGACTGCTTTTTTGTGCGTGGGTAAGCTCTTCAAATTTTTGCTTTTATTCTTGATTTACAACACTCACTTCACAATCGGTACGGTGTCGTTGATACTCATAATTTGGACCATTGGTCACAAAGCTGGCATAGGGAGACAACTTTGAGGGCAGAGACAAATCTCAAGGTGGACTGTGCCGGAAGAGTATGGTTTCAAAATCATTTTAACACTGATAAAATATACTTGTCACACTGCATTGATTCCATTGGGTTGGTGACCCATAAAACACTCCAAGACGTGTCCTCTTCTGTCAGAATCTATTGTGATGTATGCTCTCTCTCATCTATCAGGAATCCCAGAGTCCAAGCCCAAGCTTCTCTCCTTCTTATCCTCTGGATCTTGTTCCCAAAGTCACCAACAGCCAAAAGCCTGGAAGAACTCAAGTCCAAATTCTCAAATGGTTGGTTTGTTGTGTTGACTCCTGTAACCGCCTTGCCTGCTTGAGAATACATACGCGATAAGAGTCAAAAAGTCAAGGGTTGATTAGGTGCTGTACCCCCCTCGGGCCGCTGGAGAGGGTATAGTCCCGAATGTTCTATCTAGTCGACCGTTGAGAAGAATATTGACACTAGGAAATCGGCACGAAGTCACGCGTTGTTGTACGCGACCCTGTCGGAGCGGGGGTGTTGATGCCACGGGTACCACATCTGCCCAAGGCAAACGTACCGGGAGTGCGGATCAACGATGCTCGTCATTCGTAACTGCATACGTCGATTGAAACTGGCAACAATGCGCCACAGACGATGCAGACTGGAAGCTCATAACTCGCCAGACTCGTACAGTCACCCTCCCCACAGCAAAGGCGAAGCTCTACGAGGGAAGGCGTTCTCATGCACGAGCTTAGAGGCAAGTGTAACCACCGTCGATGATGACGTTGGAGCCAGTCATGAAGCTGGAGGCATCGGAAGCCAGGAAAACGCAGAGACCGTTGAGGTCGTCAACATTACCGAGGCGGTCCTGGGGAGTCATGGACTTCCAAATCTTCTTCTGGGCGTCGAGGGCAGGAACACGGTTGAGAGCAGTGTCCATATAGCCGGGAGAAATGCAGTTGACACGAATGTTGTACTTGGCCCACTCAGCAGCAAGGGACTTGCCGAATTGAATGACACCAGCCTTAGAGGCGTTGTAGCAGGACTGCTCCTGGGGGTAATTGACGATGCTGCCAGACATGGATGCAACCAGGATGATGGAGCCAGGCTTGCCAGCCTTCATCATGGCACGGCCAACGGCCTGGGACATGAGGAAGGAGCCAGTAAGGTTGATGTCAATGAGACGGCGGAACATGGCGGGGTCGTAGGTCTCGGCCTTGATGTTGGAGCTGTTTAAAGGCGTGTGTTAGTGGGTCCCGCTAAACAAAGGGGGGAGGGGGGGATGCTGTGCATCGGGTGCACATTGCATTATGTGAAATGACGTACTCAGCGATACCAGCAGAATTAACCAGAACATCAGGAGCACCGTAGAGCTCGACCACGGAGTCAACTGCAGCGTTAATGGCAGCGCCGTCACGTACATCCACCTTAAAGAAGGTGACAGGCAGACTAGTCTTCTGGTGCAGCTCAGCAGCGGCCTCATCGCCCAACTCCTGGTTAGCGTCGAAAATGACAAGGGCCTTAGCACCGGCCTCAGCACAGGCGCGAGCCATGTAGTTGCCCAGACCGCGAGCACCACTGTGAAATCCCAGTCAGCCGGAAAGAATAAGAAAGAAAATAGAAGCGGTTTCATCCAAGCGCGTGTTGGGGAAGGTGCCAATTGGAGTGGGAAATTATCATCAATTGATTTGGGGAGAAAGCAAAACGTACCCAGTGATGACAATGGTCTTGCCCATGACGGAGAGCTTTTGCATCATGGGAGGCATCGAGTCGAAGGTCTTGCGGGTAAGAGGAACGACATCGTCGTTCTCGGGACCAGGAATTGGTGACTCGGTGGGAGGGCGAGAGTCATGCTCGCGAACGGGGATTGAGAAGTGGTCGGATTGACCAGCGCCCTTCGCGTCAGGAGCGTAGACGGAGACGGGGATCTCCTTCTCGCTGACAACGTCGCTCTTCAAGGTACGAGCAGAGATGGAGAATGGACGAGCGGCCTGGCTGCGGACGGCAACGCGAGGGGCGGCGAAGCGGGTGGTGAGACGGAAGGCAGAGCGAGCGGCAGCCATATTTGCGATCGTTCGGGTGATGGTAGGGATGTGAGATACAGCTGTTCGTGTGGTGAAGAAGGAGGATAGAGGAGGAGGGCTAGATTGGTAGACGAGTGGAAGTATGTGACCGCTGATGAAGGCGCGAGGGTGGAAAGTCGGTGCAGAGGTCAAGCTTGATGGGGAGAGAAAACAAGAATAAAACGGGTGGTGGATGGGAAAAAGTTGGACGGGCAGGTAGAATAGGGGGGAGGGGAGCGTGTCCAAGTTGATATAGGTCCGAGGGGGGTGGCGTGGCCCGTGTAAGCTCGACCTTCTGGCAAAGAAGGAAGGAAGGGACCGGCCAAGACGGTGAGAGGTGAGGGAAGCTTGGGAAGGCACGGTACGGTACGTATCCGGATGGGAACAGGTGAGGTCAAGGTTGGTACAGCTCCGGAAGACAGGTAGACGTATATACAAGCGCCGTGAGGTAGGCAATGGGCAAACTGCTGTGCCCGTCTTGCCTCAAAACGCTGTCCCAAGCTCAAGGGAAGGGAAGGAAGGAAGGGGGGAGGGATCCGTATCGATACCGTCGTACGTACCTCCCTTCTTTCCAACCTAGTTCCTAGTCTAGTGTACCTACACGTAGTGTTGCAAGTGATAGACGTGGAGAATGTGGGCGTGGCGTGCGGCGATTGCGGAACCGCTCTAGCGTGGCTGCTTGCTCCAAGGGCCCCGGTCTTAAGTCGAACGCTGAGGTACCTCATAAACTGCATGGGAGGGCAAGAAAACCGGCTGCTGGGCGCGCGCTGCTGGTGTTGAAGCTCATGTGGGTGCGGACTGTGAATGGGATTGTTTTGGGCCGGCCGGGATGGCCATGTCAATGATATGAGATGGCGATCCGACCACACAGCTGCCACGTACAGGGGGCGGACGACGAGAACAATTCAATTTTTCCGTCCTCTATCGGAGGCGTCGTTGCAGTGTCTACGGCATACGCCTGAGCAGTAGATGGAGAGAGTCTGGAAGCAACCCGTACAGATATGTCAATCTACATCTGCAGTACGTTCGCTGGCCGGACAGCTCTGTGGATGGAGAAGGGTGTGCCAAATCCGTTAGACTAGGTAGGTAGACAGCTGGTCCCTCAGCCATCGCATGCAAGGCGGGCGGGCACGTCCATCTGTCTGCGCTCGTCAACGTAACGGGTCGAGATGGGACGAGGGACATCGCCGCTGTCACCCAATGCGCGGCCCAAAGTCAAAGGAGGAGGAGGGTGAGAAATGTTCGGGTTGATGCGACCTGCCTTTCACGAGGAACGGGAGGTTGCCATCATCAGCTGGTGCGGGTGCCGCAAACCTGGGAAGGGACGGCTCTGTGCCTGGGGGCGTCATCGTGTGGGCCGTGGAGTTGAACGGAGGGGCAACAGCGACATGTTGCAGCAAAGTTGCCGGGGTCTTGCTTGCTGGTAGGAACTCTCTGACAGGACTGGCCGTGCCCATCCATCACCGTTCTGGACGCTTAAGTTGTTGACCTGACTGCAGAGTCCACCCAACAACATGGCTTGTCCGTTGTCTTCTGTTTCTTCTCTGTGTGTGGTTTGTTTCCGAAAAAACTGTCTGGACTCTAGAACTTGGCTTTCCAGGAGATAGAGAGACCACCTCTTAGAGTTTCTGCCACCAGCAGAAACTGTCCTCCTTGCTGTTTTCCAAACTCCGGCATCTCTTTCTCCAAATTTGTAGCATCAAAACTTGACAATCAAAGGTTTCTTTTGCGTCATAGTCAATCCACAACAACGACTTTTTCTCGCTGTATTGTGTGCCTGTGACGGTCCCCTGTTTCTGGTGGAACCCAAGCGCTTCTGGATTAATTCCAAGTCGGTTTGGGAATCCTCCATTTCAACGTACTGTACCTAGCACAAGGGACGACATACCTAGGTATCTTCCCTGAGAACGGTCGGAAGACGGCAGCAACGGTGGCATCTTGGAGGCAAAAACAACCGCTAGGTGGCAAAATAGCGGCGTGTCGATCGTTGCTGTGCTTCCCCATTCAACTGCTGCTTCAGCTAGTCAGTGGGGCGCTATGATGTAGATGACGGGGTTTTGAAGTTTCGAGTCGCTCGAAATCTTTTCCGCAATTGCCCCTCCGGTCTTTGGCCTTGGAGAATGACGTCGGACGCATCGAAACGCTTCATTATGTTGGCTTACAAGGGCTAGTTGTTGTGCGTTGAAGCGCGACGGAAGAGAGCCATTGTTCCCGTGATAAAGTTCCTCATGTTTGTACGTCGAATCGTCAAGACTCCGAAGTGGATTAGGAGCCCTCGGCGGCTGTCTAGGAGAAAGTTGCTCTTGGATGCGCGCACGTCGTCGTCTTGTAGGCCTTTCAGAAATGCCGGCGTTACAGAGGCGCTAAACAGCCTAATCCATCATATAGGTGCTCACTGCTGAACCGGGCACCGTCTCACATGTCTATGCGCTGTGAGCTTGCCATGGTCTCAGATGGATGCATATCTGCTTCTGGATAAGCTTGTAGTGGCATGTGGAGCGGCTACAGTGCCAATAATGAAGAAGTACGGTGTCAACAACTGCATTCGTTGGCAAGATGGTCTGTCTCTAACAACTAAATCCCATGCCGGCAACTCGAGAAAGGAAACACTGCAGATTCGCTACGGTTTAGCTAGGTCTGGGAGATTAGTAAGACATTATGCTACGTAGATAAGGCGTGCGTAATTTCGCAGCCAACAGCAGCCGAACAACTTCCAATGTTAGGATCATGGCCAAAGGCTATGGAAATAATGCCTTTGGCCAATACCATGATTGTTGGAAAGGATACTGCCAGGTTGTGGTCAGAGTGCGTTCGCTCAGTTGCGTTGCCGAACGGCCAGCTTGACACCATGGTGAGACGAGGGACTCTCGTATCAACTAGGAGATGGTCTACGAGAACAGAACCCCACGCCCGGACTGCAACAACGCTGCGACTGTATGTGTAGGTAAAAGGTGAGGGGGGACGACGGGGCACAAGACTCGAAAGTCTTGGCTTGATGGCCCATGTAAGTCTCAGTGCCTCTCTCGGGAGCACATACCTGACGGTGGTATAAGCGTCCATGGCTCAAAAAACAGATCTCATCGAGGCACGAGAAAACGTGGAGCGGACAACTCGCCGTCAGACAACATCGGGGTACAGATGAGTGATCAGCCAAGTTGATAGTTGGTTTCCCTGAGCTGGTACGGAGCAATTCCGTCCGCTCCCGCCCCTAGCCAGCTCAGCAGGGAGACAGATTTTTGGCACATTAGCACCCAAGACAACTCCAGAAGTCTAGAGTGCGGGTGCCCGGAAGCTTGTCTGGGCGGTGAGCCGGATAGCATCCCGCTTCTGTCAAGTGTGTACCGCTAAGTTGGTCGTTTCCAGCCTACCGGGGTGGCAGTTGCTCTAAATCCGGAACTGGGGGAGAGGCCTGCAGACGTCCTAGCGTTGACGGCGGTAGTAATGTTTAGCCAACAGAAGGCCCATCGAGCTCGCTGGTAGCTTGCGGTGTTGAGCGACAGGGTACAGTAGCTAGCTCTGGCATGGCATGGCATGGCATGACAAGTCGCGACTGAGCGCCGCGGGTGCTGTTCCTATCCCCCGGCAGGAGACGACGGTCTGGAGACTGGGGCTAGCGTACCGTAGCGTGCTCTATTAAAGTACCTCTGTAGTGTATTCGTACTTAAAATAGTGTACACTACCTACCTACCTAGGTACTCTGGCGACAAGGCATGGATAAAGGAGAAGCTCCCCCGGCCGGCCCCTGGTCATCGTGGGGCTCATCGTGGGGACTTGGGGGGGAGCAACTGCGCCTCCCCAAGCGGCTCATCTGGCAGCAGTTGTCTGGTCGCAGATTGCATAGGAGCTCGGGCAAGGAGCTAACTTCCGCAGGTCGTACGTTCTCACGGTACTGACGGGAAATGGGAAAGGCTGGGGCATGGGTGTCTTATTTGAAATGGTCAGATGACAATAAGACTTTTTTTATTGTCATGACTATCATTTATTTTTTCGGTTTTTGGCTCAGACACCCCTGAAGAGCTCCGGCAGCTAGGACGCGATGGCTTGCCGTCCTGGAGTCTGGAGTCGCTTTTGTTTTTCTTCTTTCTTCTTCTGAAGGAGGCAGGGAGATAGATGCCCAAGTTGACGCAAGAGCCGCGGGGGTTGTTGCCTGACATAGGATGTACATACTCTGGTATCGGATAGGTACCGCAGCATTGAGCTTCACATCTTCACAAATGGGGTAGTGCCACCGACCAACTCCAGTTGCAACTTGCATTAGCACCGGAGCGATGCGAAATTGTACTTATTGGCAAATCGCAGTGATACCCGAACAGTAGTAATATGCGGTGCCGGTGTGCTAAAGCTGAGTTGTCTCCAAAGGGGATCAGGCTTTCTTAGTCCTCTGTGAGAGTTCGCCGCAACAATTGTAGCTTGGCGACCCCGCCCGACGCAAGTAAGGTCTAGTATTCACGAAGTTACATATGTGATCTATCTCCCAAGCTCTCGGGGTCTGGAGTTTGGAGTTTGGACTTGCAGCAGCCTATATGGCGTTGGTGCACAGATCACTATCCCCGAGGCTAGCTACCTATACTACCGTAGGTAGTTTACCTAGCAGCGTACCTCCCTTACCTAGCTAGGCAGGTATTTTATCACTCCTTTCCGTCTGTTCGTACACGTGTACTAGTCTAAATGACCTAGGTATACATAGCGCAGCCAGGTTAGATAAAGACTCCCTTCCCTACCCTGGTCGGCCGGGGCTCACCGTTGCTACGCTTTCTGTTCCCCGCCTAACGTTCGCGGTCCCCATTCGCCGACAGCTTCCCAGTCACTTCTCTATTCTCCCGGAGAACAATCGGCTAGATCCGTCCGAGACTCGTTCCTAGGACACAAGGAATATCCCGTTGAGCGTTGACACCACCTACATCCTCAATTACGGCACTGCCACGCTCCGCGGACATTGCAGCATCAAGGCTGAGCTCCGGCGCTTCCGTCATATTCGCGGCCAGATGGGCTGTGTACTATTTGCATAACTGAATCTGATTCGACGACGATGAACTTTGTGGTGGTATTGGCACATTTTCATGATATGAGCTCGAAGCCACTCTAGGCGTCCAGACTGAGTTTTCCCATGATAATGGGACGAAAGTAGCAATTTGACAAATCAAAAGCAATACCAAAGTTGCATTCTCATCTAACCGCACCGAATGGCTTTGAACCCCCACTCTCTGGTGACTGCAACATAAAGACTGGTAAGCTGATAAATCAACCCGGGGTTTTGGTTTTAGGTAACCGTCGTTGAGACTTCGTACCCAGGTCCAAGAGTCATGGCTTGGGTGGGCTTCAAACGCTTCGAGAGCAGAGGCCGGTGCCCATACGGATTCTTTGGGCCGAAATTAGCTTGATCCTGGTTTAAGCGAGCATTCAGTCCCGTGTATCTCCTCCTGAAATCGAGTAAGGGGCGTTGAGTAGATGTTGCTATAAGCCAGATCTACATTGTTGCGGTCATCCTGATGTTGTATCAGGCATAGGTCTGAAGGTGACGAAGGTGTTGCTAGTAATTGGATTTGAAGCTTGGCCTGCTCGCAATCCCCATCTGTTCCGTGCCTCTGCGTAATGATCTCCACAGCATGTGTATTCATCTGTGGAAGATAAAGGCGTATCGTAGCGCTGCTGTCTACTACTGTGACATACACTGGTATCTGAGGTGGCGATGCTCTGATAGGGTCTGCAGCGTCTGGCATCGTTCCCAAACGTCTCTGACAGCTCTGCTCATGATGATCTACATCGGCTCAGATTTTGCGTTGTCTGACGAGTTTGGATTTTTAGGTCACCGGCACTTCTACAGGAGGCAAGACAGCTGGCAATGTCTGGGAAAGCCCCATCAACCACACCCCTGGTCAATGAAGTATGCCAAGGTTGATTGCGGTGCGTCGGATTTCATCCAGCACCTTTGGGCATTACTAGTACACTATACTGTGTGTATTTCCCGCTCGTTATTTTCTTCTAGAAGTCCGAAAGGCGAGTGGCAGGACACCTCACGTGTGATCTGCGGACTTGTCTTCCATAAACTCAATGACAGCTTTGCATTGCCGTTCGTGCTGTTATGTCCACTTGATGTGGTTAGCCGGTTAACGTTGTTAGCTATCAACCCGATGCGCGTGCACCTCTTGTGCCTGACTACTCATTGGGTTCGCCCACTTCTAAGTTGTGGCCCTCTATATAGAGCCTTGTCACATCCGCTCGCCCTACACTACCGTTATATTCTCGTCCATATTCGCCACTTTCGGTAACGATACGGCATACACTCCGCACATTAGCATTCTGCATCTCGAACCTGTTAATAGAGAGATATACTCCGATAAGCCTGCTCCGACAGACCGCCCTCACATTCTAGTCTGCAGGATGAGGCTTCGTGTTGCCTTGGATAGGTGTCTTGAAAATCACCACACAACAAACCACCTTTGAGGACAGCAGAGGGGCTATCTCGCAGAATGCGGGGGAACTTTCTGTTGAACGGCGTCTATAATTATGCCGTTCAACAAAACGACGCCCCTTATGCCGCTTAGACTCGTCTGCAAGCTATATAAAACCGGTTCATGAGGCGACAGCGAGTATCCGTACTGACAGTACACCAGACACACATTCCGAAGGAATCATCAATACGAAACAAACGTCGCCCAGTTGCAGGAAGAGCTTCTCCAAAGACAGGCTCCAGGCGTCAATCAATCCAAGCCGTAAGCAGCCCAGACAGATCTTCGTAGCCAACCTCTTTACACATCTTATTCCCCGCGCGTACAAGCGGCAACATGGCCAACTTGTCCCTGGCGGACCGCATCAGACAACAAAGAAAGAACTCAACTCGGCGTGGCATCCATCTCAACAGGCACACCGGAGGTCTTGACTACGACTGCTTGTTGGTCGAACTCGGCCCCCAAGAACCTTCTTGCACTAGGCCCTTTCGCCTCGCGGCTGCGTGTAGTTCTGCACTGAAACGCTGGTGTCAATCTCACTTTTCAGTAGCCACGGTCTGGAACTTATACCATGGAAACCAGGAGACCTCGAGGTGAGAACCACCGAGGGCTGAATTTCCATGCTGGAACTCATCAGGGTTAATGTCCGAGTGCTATGGCTGCCAGCTGATCTGGGTTCTTGCAAACTCGCTGTTGTAAATGATGGCCTGCTGGCAATGGACGGCAGAGATATACTTTATGGCAGAACTATCATCGAACGGCTCGTGAATGACTGTGGGATGTCCCGGGATGAACGTACAAGGATTGATCGGAATGCCGAGAGGGCAAGGGAGCAGGCAGCGTGCTCGGCAAGCCTGTTGTTGACATTCGATGAATCTTGTAAGTGGTTTCTACTACACATACACATGGCCGAAGACTGGTAATAGCAGACATTCTCCCCACAGAAACAAGCTCGCTTCTCCATCCCAGGAGGTCGACAGGCCTTCTTCAACCTACATTCGATCAACGAACCTGCTCTACTGCAAGCAATGAGCCGAGCTACCTCACAATAACATTCCCTTGTGCAAGCACTGTGCCATCGTATCTCACCCCAGAAACTTCGATCAGCATTAACCAAGCCCAGACCGCGATTGAGGGTCAGAATTTCAACCATGGCACCTCTTTTTTTCTCAAAGTGGGATTGCCAGTACTTTCTACGACAACACCTCAGAGCTTAATGTCACAGACTTCACTGAAATACTTCTAAACAAATACGGCTCAAATGAACTTAGCTTCAATGGCTATGCAAATCCAGACTATGCTATCGACTCTTTCGCGGTTCCGATGCGATATGATTGTCGTCAAACCTCAAACAACACATTGCTTCCACCACAAACAATATGTTCTCGAAACCACAACGACTAGTTTCCATGGGTTTAAACAATGTCAAATCATTTTCAACACTCCAAACCAGACAGCCAACTCGGCCAAAGTCAGCTTTCAGTACAATCCTCACATCAATTGCTTCCCCAGTACCACAAGCTCGGGGGGTCTCCCTTGGGATTAGAATGGATTCTTGTCCGCTATACGTTAGTATTACTACCAGACCATGCTAGGGCCTGGTGCAAGTAATGCTCACATTTTCTGACGTACGTTTCTGGCTTATAGCCGTAGGATGACGGCCTAAAGGTCAGCATGACATAGATTACAAGAACAGCAGGGTTCCAGAAGCCAGTATGACGGAAATCGCAAAGCGTCCTTAAGATCAATTTTTCTTGATTGAAGGGAGGCTTCAGGGTCAGGTTTGACTTAGTGTTGTGCGCTGCAGGGTTTGTTTGTCAGGATCAAGACGAAGTCCAAGATCCACTTGTTGTCAAAAGCGGGCTGCACTGTTCTGTTGGTTAGCGTCGTGATTCGTTGTACCTTGGCGAATTGGTCCATTTAGGATTGGAACTCCCTAGTGCTTGAGTCAAAGTTGTGGTACTTTCCTTGGATAATCGACAGTCTGGCCGTCTGTCAGGCAGATTCCAGACCGACAGCAAATGACTTATCGGTATTCATGCCCCAGTAGTAAATTGCAAGACTGTTGACCCCTTGAACGTGGGAAATCTAATTGGGCGTGCTGTTCTTATCCCTGCTCCTATTTGCGATGCCCAGAAAGATCAAGAGAGATAGTAATAAGAAAGACAACAGAAAGAAAATGAACATAAGTGAGAAAGGACTCTCTTGCCCCCTTTTTGACATGTCTTGTGTCCAAGTATTTTCTATTGTTCCTCAACTGAATGATGTGTGTACCGCATCAACATAGCACCTTTTGGTAACCCAAACACATAAAGTCGGTAGATGTTGATCACTTGCACTGTTGGATATGCATTCAGACCGGTCTGTGAGTCTAAACGATAAATCTAACCTCAAATGTTCGCCTTGGTTCCTTTGAGGTACCGCGAGCCGTCCTATCATTACATGCTTTCCCCAAGCTTACACCTTGTAAAAACAGAAAGCGGTGTAGAAGCTTGCCGCTTCCAACTCCTCTGGTGAGACGAGTAGGCGTCCACCACCCCGCTCTCGAACGCCCATTCTCTCACTCAGAGGACCAAGTGTTTCATCGTCCTTTTCCGACTCCCAAATCTCCATAAACGTCTTGTGGTACTGCAGCTCGAGATTGTAGTCTTCGGCCAGGGCTCTGAGTACTTCCCATGGGACGACGTACTCAGGCACCTCCTCCACGGCTTCATCAAGGAAGAAGTTGTACTTCCAGCCGAATGCGGGCCGGAAGACGCCATCAGCTGGTGTCTTGCCCGGGAATCGGACTCGATAGATGGAGTTGCCCCACTCCGCCGACTGCTCCGCTTCACCATCCTCCAGTTCTCCCTCTTCTGCCTCCTGAGGCGGCTCCTCGGCAGCCTTCTTTTTCTTCTCTTCCTGTTGCTCGTTGAACTTTCGGACGTGCTCGCCCAGAACGTCGGAGTTGGGAATACATCCAATCAAGCGCCCTCCCTTCTTCAGTGAACCGGCAACGTTACGCAGCATGGTACGGGCCTTCTGCTCTGTCTCGAACGCGTAGTGCATGCAGAACATCATGCTTACAACGTCAAATCCTTGCCGGCTAAGGGGGTTGGTGTCGAATCCGACCCGTCTGATGATTTCAATGTCCTCGATGTTTTCGCCGTAGCAGTCCTTGACGTGGAAACGTGCCTCAAAAAGTCGCGGAGGCGGTCGTCTGTATCCACCTCTGCCGCCCCTACCACCCCCTCCGCGACTACCCATCTGGCGATAGCGCTCCCGAGCCTGGTCGATACTAATATCCGCGGGATCCAGGCCGACGTAGAGCTCCACTGGTTGCGGCGCTTGCTGCCATTTGCCCAGATCGCCTCCCTTTCCACAGCCGATGTCGAGTACCAGCAGCTCTTTCTCAGTCGAAAGCCCCTGCTCTCGAGAGCCGGGGGTGTGGTCCTCATCCGGCGAAAACTTTTGGATGATGCAGCTCTTGACCCAATTATTGAAGGCGCGAAGTCCCTTGATCTTACTGTCTGTTCGTCTCCAGTCCCTGCCTCGTTCTGGCACACTGTTATAATGCTGCGTAACGACGTTGTTACTGGCAGTGCTACGTTGGCGTTCCGCGGCAGCCTGAGCCTGAGCTTCCATTTCCTTCTCTCGCTCCAATGCTCGCTGACGTATTGCTTCTCGTTCGGCTTCGGAGATGCGAGCTCGGGCGCCGGGTCTCTTCAGCTTGCGAGGTTGCTCTGAGGGAGAGACGGCTCGTCGTTTGGCGGGCTGAAGTTCCTTTGCATTGTAGGGCTGCGGGAGTTCATCGGTGCCGCCGTCTTCGCGCTTTTCACCTCGGCGAGAGGAGGACTTTCCATTTTGGGATGGCGATTGGGATCTCTTGCGTTTCTTCGCATCGTAAGATTGAGACTGTCGCTCATACGAGTCGTCGTCGTCGTAGCCCGCCATTGTCCCCGAGTTTCTGGACAAGACTGGATATTATGCTCCGAAATAAGTGTTTTTTTGTCAGATAAAGAGAACAAGGACCTTGGAGGGCTTGTTTGGTCGAAAATATGTCGCCGACTCGAAGGGTTGGAAATGGGATAACGGATGGTCGGAGAAAGGAAGAAGCTGCTGAGCGTCGCGAGTACTGGGATCTTGCTAAGGATGGTAAGGACCCACCCACCTTGTTATGGTTACCGAAACGGCAGGTGTGTTTTTATAATAAAGGGCAAGAACATGTCGTTTTACAGTTCGAAAACTGAAAATGATAACAATTGGGAGTTAGGCCTTCAACGATGAGAACAATGAACTTGAATGAAAGGGAAAGAACAGCTCTTAGCGAATGAATACCTCAGTGGGCAAGCTGGTACGGCGATTCCAGGCAGGTCCGGTACGTGTCGCACTGCAGCCTTGCCAGCTTGACTAAGCTCACCCCCGCCACGGGGCCAATCAAGACTGACTGTATGACTGGCCGCTTGCGGGTTGCAGGGGGTTTTCCCAAGCTCCAGCTCCAAGCGCCTCCAAACAACGACATTACTCTCGTGCTCACCCAGGAAACCCATCTCGCAACCTCATTTTCTTCCCTCACGCACCATAACATAGAACCCTCGATTCCCGGTGCCCCCGAAAATCCAACCGCAAAGATGGGCTCAGAACCCCAGTACGCAAAGTACCCTCTCCTCCCGCTCGCCCAGCATGTCTTCGCCCTCACAAATGCCTACGCCTCCCGGTCATCTCAACAAACCGCCGCGAAAGCCCTCAATGATGCCATCACCGAGCACAAGATGGCGCCGCTCTACCGCTATCTTGCACACCCCCTCGAGGGCATTCTGAACCAAGTTGGGGAAGGTGGCAGCCAGACCCCCGGCAAGCCGCTGAGTCGGAAGTCGAGTTTGGCGGGCATGATCGCTACCAAGAGCACGCCAACCACCGTCAACCTGCCCTGGGACGAGGCTCGGTACCAAGAGCTTAAGGCCGACAACGATCGAGAGTTAGAGGAGTTCCAGAAGGAGGAAGATGAGGCTGTCGAAAAAGCGGGTGATACGGAGATCCAGGCTGCGCGGGGCAAACGAGCGGAGTTCTGGGCCAGAGTTGGTGACAAGGTGCGTGCGAAAAAGGTGGATGCGAGATCGAATGGGAACACTGACGTTTGATTTAGGATCGGGCGATCGCCGCATACGAAGACGTTTTCGAGAAGACCGGTATCCTGGGTACCAAGATCGACCTGGTTCTCGCAATAATCCGGATGGGTCTGTTCTACGGCGACAAGCTCCTTGTGAAGAAGCATGTTGAGCGCGCAAAGACCCTGGTTGAGTCCGGTGGTGACTGGGACCGTCGCAACCGTCTCAAGGCCTACGAGGGCATCTACCTTTTGACCGTTCGGTCGTACAATCTAGCGGCCCCGCTGTTGCTGGACAGCTTGTCCACCTTCACCAGCTACGAACTCTGCACTTATTCTTCTCTCGTCGTCTACTCTGTTCTCGCTGGATCCGTGTCCTTGAAGCGCGTCGACTTCAAGAGCAAGGTTGTTGATGCTCCTGAGATTAAGGCTATCCTTGGCGACGGAGATGATAAGATTTTGGCTCTGTCTGGTGCTCTCAGCGCCGGTCCCGGTGCCGACGACACAATGCAAGACGCCCCCGCGCCTACCGCAGCTGCCAAGACCGCAGTGAACCTGACGACCCTCGGCACAGGCACTGACCAGCCCGAGGCTGAGATGGCTATCGACTTCTCGCCTCTGGCCCAGCTCGTCTCAAGCTTGTATAATGGCCAATACAAGTACTTCTTCCAGGCTCTTGCCGAGGTCGAGGAGAACTTCCTCACGCAGGACCGCTACCTGCACGAGCATAAGAACTGGTTCATTCGCGAGATGCGCCTCCGCGCATACCAACAGCTTCTTCAGAGCTACCGTGTGGTTGGGCTGGAGACGATGGCGACCGACTTTGGCGTCACCGTTGACTTCCTGGACCGGTATATTTCTTCACCCCTGACTTGACTACATTTAGAGAGCTGACTCTTCATTAGCGACCTCGCCAAGTTCATCGCGGCTGGTCGCATTCCTTGCACAATTGACCGCGTTAGCGGCAAGGGCGTCATCGAGACCAACCGCCCCGATGATAAGAACAAGCAATACCAGGATGTTGTCCGCCAAGGCGATCAGCTCATTACCAAGCTCCAGAAGTACGGCCAGGCCGTGCGTCTGAGAGGAAGTGAGCGGGCGTAAGCTGCCGGTCGGGTCGTTAGAATATAAGAGGGCAGACGCGCTTTCTTCACCATATGCTCACCCGGTTGTATGTCTCGGTCAGGCTTGGAACGGCCAAAGTGGTGATGTAGAGATGGCAGGCGGCGAATAGAACTGGGGGGCTGGGTAAGCAAATGTGTGCTACTACAATAACTCTGTATGATACCTACGGATGAGACGGGCCAATATGAGGAATCTTGGCTTGAACCAAGTTCGCCGACCACCCTCTTGTGATGCCAGATTACCTAGTGTTCGATAACCTTTCCGAGTCTCACCGTTTACTCCTTGGCAGGATTGTGAGAATACCTTGTGCATGCTTGATCTGGCCTCTGACCGAGGATGGCCAGTTCGTAAGCAGACGTTGTTTCGGATAACTTCGGAAGACTCAATCAAGGCTGAACGACGGGCCACTGTTGGGAGCGGAAAGTGTTATATTCTCGCAAGCTATGCCAAAAAGAAGCATTGACGATAATATGTTAAATCCAAAGGAATACCCCCTCGCGCTATGCAAGCTGTACCGCGTCCAAAAAGAAGTCTTCGCTCCCTGCCTCACGCACCGCTTCTTTCGACCCATTCAATGTTGCCCACGTGATATTTATGCTCTTCTATGTGCCTTCAAGACCGCCCAATGAAGTCTTGCAACATTACAAAACTCCCAGCCGCGCGCTCGCTGTCAAGGCGAGTCTCACTCCGCCCAACGACGGCTGGCCTCCTCGCACCCCACTGGTCCCTTTCCCATATGGCCCCCGTGGAAAAAAAAGACGGTAAAGGTAGACCCGCAAGCGTCGCTCACCGGTACTTCTCAACAAAGTCCTTGTGGAAGTTGATGATGCGGCCGACCCAGTCGGTGCCGGGGGCGAGGAAGGTCGTGCGGAAGTGCAGGGTGCCCTCCTTCTGGCCGAACCCACTGCCGGGCACGACGCAGACGCCAGTGGCCTCGAGCATGCGCATGCAGTAGAACTCATCGGCGGTGCGGCCCTCCTTCTTGGCGGCCTCAGCGGCCTTGGCGGGAAGCTTGATGGTCGGGAAGAGGTACATGGAGCCCTGGGGCGTGCCGCACTCGACGCCCTCCATCTGGTCAAAGGCCTTGTGCAGCGCCGTGGCACGCTCCTTGAGGCCGTTGAAGATGCCGTCGTACTCCTTGCGGTACAGCTCGTAGCTGGGCTCACCCTCCTTGGGAGGGTTTACCATAAGCTCGACGATGCACTGGCCGACGACGGGGGCGCAGAGGGTGATGGATACGAACTTGTAAATGTTGGCCTCGACCTCGGGGTCGAAGTTGACGAGCTCGAAGTAGCCACCGCGGTGGCCGCACTCGCCAACCATGCCCTTGGAGATGGAGTGCAGCGAGGCAAGTTCGACGTGGTCGTACTTGCCAGGGGTCTCCTTCTGCAACTTGCAAAGGACGCCCTTGAAGGAGTGGAACTTGCCAACAAAGACGTTGGTCTGGTAGACCTCGTCGGCCATCACGACAAGACTCTTCTCAGCCGCGAAGTCAAAAACGGCGCGGATATCATCCTCGGATAGGGAGGCACCGGTGGGGTTGCCGGGGTTGATGATAACAATAGCGCGAACATCAGTGCCCTCCGAGGTGGCCTTTTCATAGGCAGACTTGATGGTGGCCAAGTCGGTACCCCAGCCAGAAGCCTCATCGAGGTAGTAAGGAACACAGGTAGCGTCGAGGACGGAGAGAGACGCCGTGTAGAGCGGGTACTGGGGGATGGGGACCAGAACGCCGCTTGTAGAGTCCTTGGCAATAATGTGCAGGAGCGTGTTGACGCCGGAAGAGGCACCGCCAGAGAGGTAGATGTGAGCGGGATCGGCGGGGAACCCGTCTCGGCCTGCAAAGGGTCTTTGTTCAGTTTTCACTTGCGGCACAAAGCAACTAAAGCTTGCAACTTACGCTCGATAAACTTGGCCACACTCTCCTTGATAGCAGGGACACCGGCGCTGGCGCTGTAAGCACCAACAGAGCCAACCTTGCTCAAGAGCCACTTGGCGCGAGAGATAACGTCGCTCTTGTAGCCGAGTTGATTCAACAGAACATCCTCGTGCTCGAGGAGCAAGGGGTTCTCCAACAGACTGACAACCTGGCGGAAGAAGGTAATGGGCTTCTGGTCAAGCTGCTGGGGGTTTCCGATGTTGGCCGAGATGACAGCATCGAAGGGGAGGTCCTTATCACCCTTGGCTAGCTTCGCGCGGTATTCCTCCGACTTTACGGCTAGCTCGCCGCGAACCGCGTACTCGGCGGCAACAACATGTTGGTTGATGTTGTGCACGTTCAACCGACGGGACTGTGTGGTCGACATGGTTCGATGGTGGGGTGATAAATGGCTGTTGCTGTTGCTGAAGAAAAGTTGCCTCTGCGATGGCGGGGTATTTGAGAGGAGGACCTTAGGGGACCGCGGGGTATCTGTGCAAGAGTCATACATATAAAAGTTAGTCAAAAGGGCTTGCACCGCGCAACAGTGGAGATCAAGGAGGGACAAATGGTAACCTTGCTCTAATTAACCGATAACACCGGGAAGAAACCGAGCAAGGGTTGTAAGAGATAGGAAAGGTCGAGGGAGGAGTAGAAGATTAAGAACTTCCAGAAATTCCCGAAAACGTAGACAGCCAACTCGACTGCTATTCAATTTACTCTTTGCCGGCAAGAAGAACAAGCAGTGAGCAATTCAGTCTCGGACGCGTGTGCGCAATGTACAATGTCTTATTGACGGGGTATCAACGGGCAGAGGCAAGAAGAATTGGACAGCGACGGAGGAAAAAACCAGCGCGCTTCCTCCCCGTCATCATCCGATGCAGCCGGCATCTTATTCAATACCTTTAACAGCCACGGCCAACTAGGCCAATACTGAGACTTGTGACATTAGGCACGAGACACGGGCCTGCACCATGAATGGTGCAAAGGGGACGTGGCATCGGTTCTGTATTGCCGCGGGATGTCTTCTATGACGGGCTGTGTTTGCCCCTCCTCTTGCGGGACGCCAGCCGAGCACTTGCTGGTTGCTGGCGAGTCGAAGACGAAGACAGGGGATCAAACACGGCCGTGCCTGGCGTGGATTTGCTTCAAAAGCCTGTGTCCGAAACCGGAGAAAGCCGGGCCTAGAGCTTCTGCCCCAGAGCGGATTGAAATCCTGAGTCTTTTGAGAAATAATTGGCAACCATTAGGTAACTAGCAAAACAGGGCAACAGAAGAAGAAAGTGCCTAGTTCCACGTGGAATTCCTGAGCACTTGACTCGGACCCGAACAACTAATCGGGCGTATTGTCCGTCCTTTGTTTGCGTTCGGTGAAGGCTCGTTTGCAGAGGGGAGAAAACTGAGGGGGGGGGGGGGGTGCAGCTGAAGATAGGAGCTCTCCCACTTGGAGGGGGGGCCGCTAGAGAATGTGAGATCGGATGGCTCTAAGCTGTACTCCACCGCCAACACAGCTAGCTACTGGCATGGAAGATGGAAATAGCACCAGCCTGAAGCAGAATGCAGGCGCGGGCAACAAATACCCCTTGAGGCAAACAAGATCGCTCTGAAGCACCAAAGCAAGAAGATGAAAATAATGTGGGGGAAAGCTTCAACAACACCGCGACGTACCGTTTGATCTGTGACTGCCATTGTTTCCACCGCTCAGCATCCGGGCCTGGCTCGTGACGACGGCCTGCCTCCTTGGCGTCCTCAGCAACCTAGCTGCGCCAGCCACTCTGCTCGTTGCCATTTTTCAGAGCTAATTGCGCCCGCCGACCGTCACAAGGAATTATGGCACAGTTGGTCTCGTGGCGGGGGAACTATCGTGAGGGAACCGCCGTTTCCGATGCCGTGGGCTTACACTTTGTGTTCTTCGTCAGCGCTGATGGGATGGAAACAATCGAGGTCTGAAAAATACCTATAAAAAAAACGTGTCAAGAGAAAGATAACGAATGTCTGCTCTCGGCGTGTCAAAGATGCCCCAATAGCCCAAGTGCGAACGGCTGAACATCATCAGTTGAAGAGTTGGGGAGAGGAAAGGAGCGAAAGTATGAGCGGCAAGCCCATCTTACCCTCCTTCCCCTCTGCGGGAAAAAAGCAAGACAGAATGTCCGTTCGCTCCCCTTTATTTGCCCATCACCCGTTGCTCACTCAATCCAGCACACCCTCCTACTTCGCTCATTTGGCACACTGGGCTGCATCTTCTGTTGAGAACCGCGACCCGAGCTGCTGCGAGATAACATGCCCGCCTAGAGGCCCGGCCGCCGGCCCAGTCGGGGGAGGGGCCGTGAGAAAAGCTACTCTATAATATCAACTGCGGGCTGGAATCCAAAGAGGGATGCGTGCAGCACGAAAAGGCGCGAAAACCCCAGTCCAGTCGCCGAAAGTGTCATGGTCTATCCGTCCGAACACAGGGCGGTGATGCTCGATGCTAGGCCCCTGCAAGCTCTAAAAACATCCCGGGTAGCCTTCGGGGTAGCTATCGATGAGGGAGCTCAACGACAAAGTGTTTGAGATCCCGGAGGGTCCAGCCGATCAACTCCTTTCATCGAGTTCACTTCATCTTACGGTGTAGACATCCTCACCGCATAGTCAACATAGACATGATGGACGGTGACTTGCAGGCCCTGACCCTATAGTCACCCTGCCATCCTCGACTACTATTCTCAAAGGTTCTGCTGCTTGGCTTCTCCCAAACGGTCTCACTTGACTAGTATTATATCATAAGAATATCTCTACTCGTATCGACAGTAACTAAATGAAACAGTTCACTATGTGAGACACCTGCATTACGAATAGTGTACGGATACTCCATGCAGCCATCCCGACGCCAGTTGTTGCCACTGGAGTACAAAAGTCGACCCACCCAGACCGAACCTTCACCGGGAGCAGCTCCAGCCAGATCTCGGTGAGCGGCCCGTTTCCCTCCGACAGCTTCTCACCACCGCAAATTTACCATAACGCGAAGCTCCCTTGGCCTCCCAGATCGTGTACAAGCAGCTTCAAGCTCCAACCCCACTAACCGCGCGGTGCAATTCCCCTCCAAGATGGCCAAGAAAGGTTCGTTGCTCGATCTCAGGAAAACTCGTTACACAAGGCCGCGTCTCTTGGATTTACCAGGCTAACTGTGGTTTCTACAACAGCCAAATCGCGTGTCATGATCGTCCGGCTCTTGTCCATGGCCGCGACTGGATACTTCTACACCTTCAAGCGCCTCCGAACCGCGTCGCCTATGAGCATGCTGAAATACGACCCGATAAGTAAGACGACACCTCTAGCCCCTTGTATTCCGGCATCTTTGTACCCCTTTCCACCAACGTCACCCGCATCACGCCGCAAAATTGTGAATAGGATGGCAGAGCTGACGATATCACAGTTCGGAGAAAGGTTTTGTTTCTCGAGCAAAAGAAGAAGGGCAAATGATCTCGCACTTCGGCTCATCATTCGATCAACAACACATGTAACAACACTGATATCACCATACACGGCGTTAACGGCGGCATGCAATCGGGTTTCGGAAACCACATGGACGATATGTACATCAGCATGCGCACCCTCAGAGACGCCACGTCCTAGGGAGGACATTGGCACGTCGGACCGGCACGATTGGTCGATTGGAAGTAGAGGCTTCGGTTGCCGCGATCTAAATGTATATTCTACAACAAGGAGAAACACCCCAAATTCCTTCGTTCCATCGAAAGACTACGATCCGTTTCGACGTCCCCCAAAAAACCAATTACCGATGCCAAAATGTTCCCATAATTTGGTCCTGCCGGAACCGCGGCGCGAAGGGACCCTTTTCGAATAGCTCCAGTGCTGCCTTGTTTCTTGGCTGGCTGTTACTTCTGCTGCGAATCCATGTCGTCTCCTTCGTTCTCCTGGCAGATTGAATCGGCACCTGGCTTGTGCGTACTTTGATGAAAATGACGTGAGATGTGGTCGTTGTCTTGGGAGTCCTCTTGGGAACTCTGAGTGCTGTCGATCTCGGCTTGCTGCGATGACTCGATCTTCTGAGAGTTGACAATCTTTTGCTCTCCAGCCATTGAAGACCCGTCGTTATCATCATCGTCAACAGGAAAGCTGGTCTTGGACCGTTTCGGACGTTGAGTGGATAGTGGAAGATTACTGCTCCTTTTAGTCCCTTTCCGAACGCTTGGGCTTTCGTGCGTAGTTATCTTCTGCCAATCACCGTGACTCGTCAAATAGGATAATTGAATCTTACGATTACCCAAAAGGTTAGATCTGACGTCTGAAATAGCAGTTTGACCGGTCATTGAAGCGCCCTGGACAGGTCGATTATACGAAGAGTGCCCGGCATGCCGAGTAACCAAAGGCTCTGTCGAAGCATTCAATGACCCTGTCGCCATCCTTTGCTGACGAAGGATTGGCTTGGGATGGGGACCATGGTTTTTTGACTCCCTCCGATGAAGTTTCTCCTGCGCAACTGAAGGTACAGGCATCTCTTGATACGGTTCCTCGACAGGTCTGCGGAATACTGTCTTCTTGCCGTTTTGTTGAACGAGCGCGGTTTCAGAGGAGGTGACTTCAAAAATCTTCAGTGGATTGACCGGATCGCCTTGTTGCAAATCGGGAAGATCCGGCTCTGGTACCACCATACTGTTGGGGGCTAGGATGTCGTCGCCTATTGCGTTATCTTGTTCGAGGAGCATAGTTGCAAGCTCTTTGCTGACCGTCGTATAGGTCTTGCCGCTTGTCTTGAGTTGCCTGATATCCTCTTTCATGTTGTTTAGCTGGGCAAGCTGTTCAGCCAGCTGATCGAAAACTCCAGCGCCAACAGCCGGTGTCTGTGTTTCTCGAAGCTTGAGAGTAAGATTGACAATTCTCTGGTTTGCATCGTCGAGCTCTTTCCGAAGGTTTATGACCCCGGAGTTGTCTTCCAATGTCTTGAGACGTTTAATCTCCGCCTCGCTCTCAGAAAGTTGCTTCTGGATGTTCTGTCGAGAGTCCTCTGAGTGTCTCAGTCGAAGCTCCAACTCTTGTTTTTTCTCCAGTTCCTTTGCGGCGTAGCCGTCCTTTTCGGTAAGCATCTTACGCTGCAAGTCTTTGACTAGCTCGCTCTTTTGACGGACATCGTCCTCGGCTTGGCGAAGCCTCTCTCGCAGCTCGTGAAGCGTTATCTCTTGATCTTCACGCTGAAGTTTGATCTCAGTCTGAATCTCAGAAACCTGATGATCCCGGCTGAGCAAAATTTCCTGCAAAGACCGGATTTCTTCCGAGGTTGTTCCAGTTTGAGAAGCAAGGACCACGGATGCGTTCAGTTCTTGGAGCTTACGCGCCAGCTCGAAAACAGCGTTGGAAATTTCCGTCATTTGATTATCCTTGGACTGGAGAGACAGGAAAAGGTCTTGGTTTCCCTTCTTCCCTTCGGAGATTTGCTGCAGTAGTTGCTCTTGTTGTTTTTGGCGTTCTGTTTGAGCCAGCACCGCCTGGTTCTGAACGGTCTTCTCGAGACTCTGAAGCCTATCTTCAATTGTGGAACTTTCAGTTGCCAGGCTCTTCGCCTCTTGCAAAAACCTGAGTATAATTCTATTAATTGAGGAGCATGAAGAAGAAGGCAATACTCACTGTGGAATGATCTCTCTCTGGAAGTTATTCAGCGCTTGACGCATCTCGTCCCCAAGATCCGCCCATGATGCTGATTGCATATATGCTGTGATCTTGTCAAACCTGTGCCTGTTAGTTTGGCACTGTTCATTGAATTGGCAGACCGAATTTACCTTTCAGTGATACTGGTTGGCAAAGCATGTGCTTGTGCTGACTTGAGGTTCATTTCGTTTAGTTTGTCGGAGATCTGTCTGATGCTGTCTTCGACCCGCAGCAAGAAAGCCTCCCGGTCTCTGCTCTTGCTTAGCTGTTCCTCCAAACCTTTGGTTTTGTCTGCTTCGGCAAGAAAATTCCGCTCGAGATTTTCCATTGCCGACTCCAAACTCTTGGTCTTTGAGGCAGCTGTCTATCGTTATCCATACCATCCTGATGCTATCGCGCCAACTTTACTCACCAGCATGCAGTTCCTTATAAAGTACATCTCTTTTGTCGTCGAATATACGATTAAGCTTGTCTTGAGCGGCTTCTTTCTCCTTCAAAGTCGAGTAGAAGTGCTTTTCGGACTCCTGATGTTCCTTTCTCATGTCATCGATTGCCCTCTGGCTGATATCCCTGGATTGCTGCCAGAGCTCCTGGTGTTCCGCAATGGCCTTATTAAGATGATCTTTGTATCCGCGTCCTTTCTCTTTTAAGATTTCCAGCTTGGATTGTTTCTCTTCAAACTTGATTTTCAATTCGGACATCTCCGCGGCATGCCCCTCTCCCAAGGCTCGAAGTTTGGCAACCTCTGCTTCCAGCTCTTGCTCTCGACCATCACGTTGAGCTATAATGGTAATGAATT